ATTGTCGGAATGTTGATGTCAACCAATAAAGTTAAAATACCAATCAATATCGAATAATAGTAGAAGATGCTCAAGATTGACTTGCATATGGAGACTCAGTACACGGAAGTTGAAGCTCAGACTCCTGGAATTATTTATCTCCAGGGCACACTGTTCACTTTGTATATGAAAGCCCTGTTCTGAGATAATCATTAGCTCTGCTTTTTGACTCAACCAGTATATCAAAGAAAAGCAGCTGCGGCAAAGTAGTGTTACAGAGCCTCAATTCTTGAAGATGTTGTGCAGCAGTTCACCAAAGCGGCATTATGTGGTAGCCAATTCTGACCGTGCAGGGGCTGAGGAAGATAAAAGCTCATTGTAAATATAGTGTAGACAAGGATGCACAGTGGTTCAGGAGACACCATGCTATCATTCCTCAAACGATAGCATACGAAGCGCAACGAAGTTTGATGCAGCCCTAAAGAAGATGCAAGAATAGTCCCTTGATGACATGGACATGTTATCAGGAGAGAGTGAGACAATATTGCTGGACCGGCCATGTAGTGATGAACAGAGTTCACGCGATCTCGCCGCGGCTTCCAACAAGACAACAGTTACGAGTCCGTTGCGGTTGATCATCTTGCATTGCGGTTGTGTTAGTTAGTCACGATTGGTCGTGTTGGAGAAATATCACAACCGAAATGCAAGAAGGTCGGCATGCAATAATATTGTTACAGTCATCTGTCGCGATGAATCGCGACGATGAAATCGCGTCAACTCTCCGAGGCTTTAGATAGAAAGAAAGCGACATTGCTGATTGACCATGTTCAGTGGATGATGCCTTAGGAAGCTGTCTTAGCTTCCCTTGCCCTATGTAATAGGACGTGTCCGCAAGAAGGGGTCAGAATCCATGAGTAAACGACGTAAAGAAAGTTAGGAAGAGAACGGTGGGAGCGATGTTTTTATAGTTTGATAGAGGTACCATTGTGTCGCCGACGAGAGCCGCTTTTGCAGGCTTCTGATCCTTTTACTCACTCATGCTTATGGTAAAGGTGAGAGGGCCAGTAGTCTGCGCAGGCAACGCCTGGCCATTCGCTCTTTTGCCCACTACAGTTCCAATCGAGCAGTCCTACTCTATGGTGGTACCGGGGCCGGCTTTTGAGGACGGTATGGATTCAATCTAAACGTTACATTGTAGGTGCCTCTGATTTGCCTGTCTCAGCTATCATGTACGACACTTTCCTGATGACATCGACTTGCGCATGCAGCGAGCTCGACCGTGATCAGATTCGAACTGACAACCATGACAACGCGCACTGAAGAAATTAGGCAAAATTTTCTGCGCTGGGTTGTATGGAATGTATTGGAAGGGAAGTGTTTCGAAGGTCACTTATTTCTGGTAGTATTGATCTGCCGTTACGCATTCTCGCTACAACATTTTCATCAATCCTGCATCCCGCGATCCACCTATGGTGTAGTACTGAATCGGACGCTGAACTGCGCATAAGTTTGTGAGTGGAACTCGGGCAGCTTTCAAATCTTCTCTTTTAACATGCGCTAGATGTTTTCCTTCACTGGAAGAAGCAAAGAAGTGAAGTTTTGAGATTGTAGGGAAAATGCTGTTGGTGATTGGATTCTGACGCTATAGGCAAAGACAAGGAAAATATTTTTAGGAACATGAGAACCCCTCATATCGAAGGCATGCGATGGCATAAGTAAGGCTCTCTGCAGCGGACCTGACCATGTTAGGAAGTGCGAAGGAATTCCTCTCAGGATTCAGGCATACCCCGTTCTTTCTTCGCTCCTGTTTGGATGTGTAATGATGCTGGTACCTTCATATTATGGAGCTACAACATGTAGTGACATTGCAATATCTGAAGCGTAGTCATATCATAAAAATAATGTTGACGTTGAAAACTTTTAGACCGTCTGATAGTCTTTTGCTTTGACTGGTGCTAATGCAATGACAGTTCCTACACTCTGTTTTTATTCTTGTCACTCAAGCGTGACGTGGGCGCAAAAAATGACGACTGATAGGGCTCTTACGTGCGCTTATATACGAGTTACAGTCACTGTTGTCGCTCATAAATGCACAATGGCATTCCTTACCATATTCATGTCGCGCTGCTCTTTCATCCCCCCTCCCCTTCGAAAATGGTTTGCGAATTTTTCCAAAGTTACATGCAGGACTTATGAATGTGCTTGTGATTTACTACTTGTTAATGATTAAAATTGTTCTTTTAATAACTTCTTGATATTTTAAGTCTGCTTTGTAAACAAATTTCTTGGGGAGTGGCTACCGGGTGACGGTCAAGAATAACGATAGCTCTGCCAGCCGCTAGCTGCCAGCTACTCGCGCGCGCGGAACAGCTCGCCCTCATTCATTAAATTGAAAAAAATGATTTAAATCTCACTTCGTTTCATTTAAAATTTTTTTTTTAATCAACCATGAAAGCTTACATATTTCACATGCCAAACCAAGCTTAAAACATTTTTTTCGCGTGTTCATGGCGATGTAAAGCTGACCATTTCCATTTTTAGAAAATAGCAGAAGCCTTAACATAAAGCATGAATAAAGAAGAACAACGCTTTGGACATTCACTGCTACAAAATGTACTGCCTGCGTGAGCTCGTCCGCTGCTGGGGAGGTGCTACCTGTATACCGTTTATTGACACCCGGGCACTCAGGGCGCCACTGTTGCCAGCTATCGTTATTCTTGGCATATACCCGTGGCTACCGCCACACTTCCACTTTATTCCAAATTTATAAGCCACCTATAAATTGTTCCCAAAATAGTTTCTTGAGATGCAGCCGCGCTTTTTGAAAAGTTTCTGTCCCCCTCCCCCCTCATCTTCCTCAAACAAAACTTTTGGGACCGCCGTTGCTACCCTATATACTGGTGACCACCAAAATCTGTCAATACTGGTGAGCATCGTCATGATAGAATGGAACGACTTGAAAAAAAAAGTTGGGAATCTTTAGCTTCAGTGCGTTTTTTGACCTACCCAGTGTCATGGGTCGCTACACTGCTTACCAATTTCAACCAAGTTCATTGAAAATTGTTGATTTCGAGGAAATAATTTGCAAGCTAAAAGCGGACAACATTTGCTGATTATACAGGGTGTCCCAAAAGCATGTATACACTGTTTCGATGTTGGTATCTCTTTTCTCAAAAAGTCTTTTGCCTACCTTTGGATACCGTTTTGTAGAGCTGGCTTTAACTTAGATTCACAGTAAGGAGCGGATCACCGATCGCTCTTCATGTAAGATTACGGTAGGAACATCTCTGGCCTACAGTGCCAGTGTAGATTAGTCGTGTCTCAAAAAAGTTTCAGAAATGATAGGTGGTGTATCAGGGATACTAGACACCCTGATTTCATTACTTAACCTTTAAGAGTTTGTAAACTTTTCGAATATAATTGTATAATAACGATTTTGGGAAGCATTGCAAAGACGGCTATAGCGGTCTACCTGCTATAAGTTATGAAGGAAGCATTGCGGTATAATGCAAAGTTCGTATTTGGTTTTAGCGACTCTAGTTAGCCCAGTGTAAGAGTTTCTAGGTTGTTTGCTTTCTGAGGCGAAACAAGGCCATCATTGGCTCAAAACCCTTCTTGAAGTTCCCACCGTAATCCTACAGTAATGAAGGATGATCGGTGATTCGCTCTTTGGGACACTCTGTAGTACTAACTTTAGAGACAGCCTAATCAAAGTCGTCTTTTCCTCCATATTCTTCCTCTTCACCCTTTCTTCACCTTCTTCCATAGTACAGTGAATAGATATGCAGGAGAACAGGATATTTTACTAAGTGGATGCAATCATCCCATCCTTCACATTTGTAGGGGAAGCTGGAGGCGAAAATATTTCAGTACGAAATTGGATTTGATAGCTGTTGTTTCCATTGTTTTGCGATATTGGATTCAATCATGTAAAACCATCTCTGCTGTCAACAAATTAAGTGAACATTGGCTGTTTCATTGAACCAGTTCCAGTTTTTCGCGCAAGGGAGGGAGGAGAACGGTGCGTGTGGGAAGTTGAGATTATTGCTTATCTTTACCAATTAGTGGAAATTGCCGTTATCTCATTTCTGTTAATGGTGTTGTGTGATCAGTTTTGTTGTAAAATCTTGTAATGCTCGTTGGCGCTTTATTTATTTACTTGTTTATCATTTGTTCAACGAACTTAGAATGCTTTCGTGACTGGCACGCTGTCATCGTTTAGTAGAACTTAGCGTTATGCCAAGATTTAAAAAGTATAGAAAGATAAGAAGTTTCTTGGCACTTTGCTTTTTGAGAGCAGTGCGAACGTAGAGTTCATAGGTCAACCAAATTATGCCCTATATGCATTCATTGCCCCCATAAAGCCCTTAAAGTGCGTTCATTATCTCCTAAACAATAGTGACAGTTCTATTCTATTGAATGACATAGCAAATGATTCGTGATGCGATGAATTCGTATGTTATCCGGTTCTAACATGGGACTAATGCGCCTTGGTATGTTCGGATTCTTTTCTTCATCGCGTCACAGCCATTTCTGGCCATAAAACACGCTTGTCGAATCGTAAGAGACACGTCTCAGCGTATTAAGCTACACTTTTCTGAAGCTACTGTACGAGAAGTTCCTTTGGCTGATTCTTCGAGAGGACAAATATTACATTACTGTGTACTAAAGCAGTAGTGGTATAAGTTAGCCGGTTTCGGTGGTTACACACACTTAACCGCAGTGCTTCTCGAGTGCAACTAATCAGATCAACTTGTTTCTTGTCAACGCATCGGCAACCATCTGCTTACCAGTACGATGCTTTTTGGAAGAAAGAAGTAAGTTCCGTTTCTATTTATGCCGTGAATTTGAACTTTGCATCCAGAAAACTCGCGCAAAGTTCACATATACTCATCTATCTTTTTTATCTTGTGTTTCGAGATGTAATCTCCTATGAATTTTAACGAGCTGTTTTGCAATTCAAATTGATGAGAATTTTGTTGTATTTATCTGTCACTGCTCGAGAGTCATTTTACTTCTGCTATTGAGCCTGTGCTACTTACTGCTATACATTCACATTCTGATCAATTTTCTACAACATAATGCATTTCATCAAGGCTATTGATGATTTTGTTCATGGGTACGTTTTCCTTCATATCGATATATCCAATTTGAGTGTGGTAGACATTTTTGTAAGTTTTGAAAGCACGACTTGCCCAAATCTGAGGTGGTTGATGCTGTGCATTAGCGAGGCCCCTAACTAAGTAAAAGCTCAAATCGCGCTGCAAAAGGTATATTCTGAAGCCTGAAAATTTCTTCGGAGGGGGACGCTGCTAGGGTCGCCACGACTACCAACGCGTGGGTTTGAAAGTAGTGAGCGGAAACGGGACTCAAGAATATCTAAATGTCTGACATACCTTTAGTATAAAAGATGTTTCGACAGTTCTACCATACCGCCTAGATCACCACGTTGATGGGCGTGGCGACCCCCGCAGCGCCCACCTTTTGGAGCAATTTTCTCGCTTTTGAGTACACCTTTTGCAGCGGGACTTGGGCAGTTACCTGGGGCCTCACTGTTGTATGATCTCACAGTCTCAGCCAGATTTGGGTGAATGGTGCCTTCAAGAAAAAGCGCTTGAGAGCGAATTATTGAGCTCCAAGACAGCAGACATTAGTTTAGGCCCCGGTCAGACTTCACGCGACTTAATCGTCGCGATCTAGTCGCCAAGATTTCCATTCATTTTCATTCCACATTCAAAAATTTCGGGCTGGAAAAGTATCACAACCGAATGCAAGTTGATCGGCATGGAATGATGTTGTAACAGTTGTCTCGTCGCGATTCAGTCGCGACGATCAAATCGCGTGAAGTCTGCCCGGGGCCTTAGACTTTTAGTGCACATTGCACTTTTTATGATTTTCGTGCTCGAAGTATCGCGTATTCGCTCTCCATTTTCTCTTTGGTGACAAAATTCTGCGAGATAGATATGTAGTTAGACTAAATAGAACGAATTTCGGTGCCCGTGCTCAGTTCGCTACTTTTTAGTGTGTGCCGCACTAAAAGCACCGAATTTACGCAGATTATCTCGGATAACGAGAGTGAAGATGGAGAGGAATACTCGGAGAAAGGGAAAGAATCAAAGTCATGTGGACAGAAAACGTCTACTTTTCTTAGTCGAGCAACGTCGACGTTAAGATGGATATTCGGTTTTCGAAAAAGGTTTCTATGGTCTTGATATCATATTTGGTGATTGGAGCTAAGCTTATGACGACTCAGCAAAGTCATGCATGATGTGCAATCTTGATGCTTTTGATTTGTCTTCCTCATCTCTAGGAAGTTCTGGCACATTTTGAGCAGGGTGATTCATAGCGTTTTTCTTTGCCTTTGGACTACAAAGTAGTTCGAGCAAAATCATCGCTGTTCCTTTCGTTGGCAAATTTTCGCTCCTATGACATCATTCTATAGGTGACTGGCTTATGCTCACCCAACCACTTACTTTAGGAGACGTCGGGGGGGGGGGGGGACCGCGTTCGTGAATCAAGAGCAAATAACAAATCGAGAAGTGGTGATCGGTCAACGGTTACAGCTTATGATCGTGAAGAATCCACTGATGACCTATCTTGAAAATCTCGTCATTTATCTATCCACTCATACATAAAATGCTGAAGAATTGTCTGGAAGCTGTATCACTTGCTACCCATTGGGTTCAATTCGCGGGGACGAAATCACGTACTTGGTCAAAAACATAGAAGGTTTCAAGAACTGATCCGTTAATCCTATTTTGCTTTGGCTTTCTGGAATCGTCTACCGTTTCGGTTATCTACTCCCACAAAAAGCCCGTAGTGCAATATGACCATGATAATCGTGATCAGTACGAGGGAATGGCTACATTGGTTTGAATTTCTAGAAGAATTCATGATTCCCATCTTTTCAATTTTGACTTATTCTTAATCCTAAGGATGGTTGCAAAAAAGCTCTCTGACACATTTGCAACAAATTATGAGGATTGATCAATGTTAAACAAATTTGGGTCTAGGCGCTTGAATGGAGTTAAACATTTTGTATCAGCAGTCTCAGTGAACATTCGTCTTATGGCATTTTATTTTTTTGATCTGGTGTGACTATCAATTTGGCAAGCAGCAGAACAATTTTTTTTTTGTTTGAATTTGATTTGGTAACGTCTCTAAATGACGTCAAGTCAGAAGTCATAAGTTACCAACATTAATCATGGAACACGTGGTATGATGCTGGTGAATAGTTGCCATGTGAGGTATGATTTCAGTGCTTTGTGAAGGAAATTGTATGGAATAGAAATTAGATAACAAGTATGATTCAAGAAACTTTTTTTCCCGAGGAGTTTTTGAAGACTGAGTTCGTTGTAGTACAAATCTTGTACAGCTACCACACCTTGCTTGCTGGAACTTGCCGACCAATTAGTCCCATTTTCATTTTGCTTATACCCATGATATGCCCATTCATAATTGTACTTGCCGTCAAAATTAGTAGTGCTTTAGTGCAATTACACCACTTTCAGTCAATGGCTCACCACTTTCCAACTTTTTTCGCACCCAAACCTGGATGGATATTGGAATTGCGACAATGCACTGAAGTTCATTGTTTTACTTAATAAGGGCGAGTATCCGAAATTGTAAAGTGCAACTGCACGAGTGCATTACGATCCGACGGAAAGTGCAGGAGTCACATTGGAATGCAATGAAGTGAATAGAAAATACTTCACCACAAAATAAATTCTTTTCGACATCATTGATGTGTGTCACTGCTCTTTTACCTCTCGATAAGATTGTGCAGTTCTTTGAGTTCAAAACCAGTCGAATGCGCTTTGTCAGTGAAATTGCCAAATTCTATTCGCAAAAAGGAACCTGCACATTGTTCATGGGCCCATAAATCCCTTATGCATTAAATATTGTTGGAAAGTGATCAGTTGAAGTGTTCTTTGCAATCGTCTGTCATACTCTCCACACAGCAGTTTGCGACAGTCATTTGTGGTGGTGGGTGGGAGTAATTTGCGTAATCGGTTTATTTGCGCATCGGGCACAGTATCACGAGCTGTGTTACTTTTGTTTTTAGCGCTTTTTAAATAGGTGTTTCGCAAGTTATGATTGATTTGCGATGGCAAATCTGATTTTACCTTTTCTTTCCTGAATCTAGCATAAAAAGTCATTTCTCGGGGTTATAAATACCTGCAGGAGTCTTAGACACGTGCCATATATGGTCTTGCCGCTTGATCCGCTTCATCCACATATTGAGAAAATAAGTGAACGACCAATAGCGAAGCGAGTACTTGATCCACTTGATCCAGTTCGCTATTGGTTAGTTCACTTTGGCCAATAATGAAGGCACAGTCTTGCCGCTTAATCCACTCATCCACTTCGATTCGGTCAAATCAATGAACTGATTAATAGCGAAGCAAATGTCACTTGATCCACTTCCTCCACTTCGCTATTGGTCAGTTGACACTTCTGACCAATAGTTAGTGCAGCAAGGCGAGTATGACGCGTGCCTCTTCGTCATTGGTCGAAGTGAAATGACCAATAAAGAAGCGGATTTCCACTTGATCCGCTTCGTTAGTCGTTGTTTCACTGATTTGAACAATAATGAATTGGATGAAGTAGCTGTGTGCCGTGGAATCATAACTGAATTCCAGACTTTTGTGCTGGGGGAGGTCATTTCTAGTACACAGACTCGTTTTTTACACTATGATCATCAATGCTGCTCCTACCAGTTGTCTGCCCCTATCTTCCCCTGTCACCTTCCCCTTCCTGCGTTATCTCTGGATTGTTCAATAGACTGAACGTCTGAGAAAGTGATTGTAAATAAGTTTTTGAGAAAAATCATGTTGACAGGCGCGGTTGATGCGATCAATGCCTTTCTGTCCCCCAGACAGGTGTGTTTGCTCTAGGAATACGAGAAACTCCGCCCCACATCTCACACCGCTCAGAAGTTTCGCTTCTTTCCTTTCTTGCATCATAGTATGGTTCGATTTTGATCAAATGTTAGTCTAAGAAATTCATTCAAGTAGTAAAATTCTTGGACTGTTTTTACAATTTTTTTATTCGCACATGGCCACAGACTGCTCCACGATTTGCATTGGAAATCAAGCGCACTATAGACATCACCAGCAACATAATCTCTTCACCTCCGCATTGTTTTTGACTTCGTAACCTTCCATCTGTTGCGCAGAACTCTGCGACGGATTTGCATCATGTGTTCCCCAAAAACCTTAGACTGTTCGTTTCCTAGAAAGTTGTGTCACATGCTGACTTGTTAAAGTATTAATTTTCGTTTATTTTTACGAACAACAGCGCATCACATGAGATTTGTCCTTGTTCGCCTTGCAAAAATCTAATTTGTCATCGAAATATGACCTTGAGAAACAAGTGTCTTTCTTGTACGAACTTGAGCAGTCGTCTATCATTTTACTCCCAAAATTCTGGGTATAGCGAGTACTGCCTAAAAACTAGTTAGTTATCTTCGATATAATCTCTGTTCTCACTAAAGGTGTTGACATTGTCAGGTTCTTTCTCCACTTCGCTTTACGCACATCGCCCTCTATACACACACCCCATCCCCACCCCCCATACGCGCCGCTGTAAGTGCGAAATTTATGACCCGAAAATACCAAAGTGCTTTATTATTTCGCCGCAGCCGATCATTTGAAGATTCTCTCCATGGGCTTTGTTGGGCGTTCAACATCTCTTTGCTAGCGCGCGCTCTCTCTCCTTTTCGCCAACCTTATCATTTTGCAACCAGCCCGTTCTACGTCCTTACCTGTATCGATCTATGCCATTTTATTGGCATTATAAATTCTATGAAATTTCATATTTTTGTCTGTTTGGGAGTGAAATTTCGATGCTATTTTACTGAATTTTAGATCATCTAAAATGGGCAACAGCAGCTCACTTATGCTACGAGATGAAGAGATTGACGAAATTGCGAAAGAAACCGAATGTAAGTTCGTATAGTTTTTCTTTGATTCTGCGTAATACTTTGATCTTGGAAATTTTCTTTCTATTTTTCTTTCTTACCCACCTTTAGCAGCAATTTAGCTGATTTTTTTTTGATTTCAGTCAACAGAAATCAAATCGTTCGCTTATACAGTCGCTTCTTGTCGCTCGATAAGAAAGGTAAGGAATGCTTTATCAGGTCTAAAGTCCATAGTGCAAGGATTCGAACCTATAAATCCTCCCTCTTGCAGGTCAAGGATTCCTATCGCGTGACGATTTCTTAAATGTACCAGAATTGGCAGTTAATCCATTAGGCGATCGTATCGTAGATGCTTTCTTTACTTTGGCGTAAGTTGCTTCTCTTTATGATTTTCTTTTCTTTAGCTGCACCTTTTGGGTGAGAGAGTTCATACAAGTACGTGCAGAAGTGTTTTCATGGTCGTATGCCAGAATTTTTCTTGCCTAGACGACATAGACGATGATGCATGTTCGCCCGCACGAAACAAGTTTTTTCCCTTTGCGAGTTATCTGGTTCTAAGAAACATGACATTCAGTGACTAATGCACATAAATCTTCTTGCCGAAGATGTTTGCACAAAATTCTGGAAATTTTGTGTGATCTGTGATGCACTTTTTATTGTTGAGTTTTTTTTTTATTTCAGTGGCGAAAATGAACAGCAGCTGAATTTCCGTCAATTCGTTCGAATTTTAGCGCATTTCCAGCCCATAAATCGATCGAAAAAGAACGCACTAAATGGAAGAAAAGAAAAACTGAAGTGTGAGTCGTTTTTCTTTTCTACGATATCTGATTGGGTATGTCATTGGCGATAACGTTCACGAGATGATGAGTATCGAATCTCTTTTGTCTTCTTATGTCGATGACCAGTCACGCTAATTTGAAGATTTGATTATATAGTGATAAGAGCTGTAGGGATCTAGCTGCCGTGTTTTGGTTTTTATTAGTTTTGTTTTTCAGTCGCATTCCAAATGTATGACTTGAACAAAAATGGCTACATCACACGTGAAGAATTCAAAGTGATATTGAACAGTATGGTGGGAGCAAACATCACTGCCGAACAGGTATGTTAAATTTTCATGATTTTTATTCAATAGTAATCTACTATTTGTTTCCGAACAGTTACGAATAATGTTTTTTCGTTTGTTTAATTATCGGTGCACTTAAGTTGTGCTTACATCATTTTTTCATGGTCTAAAAAATTTCGAAGTCTTCTTCTAGATCGCCTTTGGCTCTATTTCAAATCTCTCTTTTATGAAATGCGCGCGGTGATACATCTTGACTTTTACTTGGTTATCTGTGTTATAACATAGAAAGTTCGGTTAAATGGACCGTGAATTCAAAAGACAAAAGTTCTCAAGTACTTAGTAATCGTCGCGCAGTTTTAATGTTTTCTGCCCGACGTAATCTCTTGACCTTTCCCCGTATACAATGACAATTTCCGTGTTGTCTAGGGGCAAGTTTGCAGATGTATGAGTGTCCATGAAATATTCAAGTTTTTGCAAACATTCTTCTTCAAAGTGTTTGCTTGCGAAATTTTTGGAAACTTTCTAGTCGTTATGGACAGGTTATTGCGCGAGTTTTTCTCATGTTATGTTCATAAGCGCTGGAACGGACTGCTTTTTGTAACAGTGCGGAGATTTGGAAGGGGGTTCTAGGCTCATGTAATTTTGCATTGTTCAAAACGGGTTTGGAAAATGGGTTGGAGCTTTTCGGAAATCAGTAAGGCGTTTGGATAATTCTGTGAAGTTTTTGAGGGAATCAATAACAAGATCTCGACACTAAAATATTCTAGAACACAATAACAAGGTTTTGTACAAAAATATTCTCATGATATAGCTTCTGTGGAAAATGCATAATCCATTTCCTAAACTAGAAATTGAGCAAATGTCTGCAATTATGTCCACATTCGCTCAAGATCGTAGATAGCCATTCAACGGAGATTAACGTTTTATCATTTTGTCTTTATTTTTAGTACATATAAATTCAAAAGATGATACTTTCACACAGTTACTGTCACTTCATATACATTTATTATTTTCAGCTTGATAAAATTGCTGATAGGACCATCGAAGAGGCAGATGGTGATAATGATGGACGAATCTCATTTGAGGAATTCTGTCGGGTAAGTGCGCTATATTTTCGAGGTTGCGCCCGTGTCTTTCAATTTTTTACTTGTTGAATTTTATGATTTTCTTTTTAGGCCATGGAGAAGACCGATATAGAAGAAAAGATGTCGATTCGATTTTTGAACTAGATGCCCAATCCATTCCTTTCTCTCTATAGTCAAGTGCCCAGACAAATTCAAAAATTGCGTACGGTTATCTGTCGCGTTCCATATAGCATACACATCTCCTAACGCGTACTGTCAATGACGGTATATAAGTTTATAAGTTAGTGCCTAGACTAAAAACATGTCGTTTGTACTCTATTTTTTCATGTTTTTATCAATCGGTTAATGATTGAAACAACGCTTGTATTTGCATAATGATGTCATTATGTATTTCCAAAAAGAGTTCATTTACTTTCACTTTAGTACTACTTTTTCCATATTTAGAAAAAGCTCATACTGATTCCCGAAGAGAAAAGTTTGTGATATACATATTGTTTCATATTGAGTTTTGTACTGCTTTCTCATGTACATTTTCTTTTCTTAAGTTTTGTGTGTCTGTGACAGAATCAGTCTCTGTTCACTGTGTGTTTTTCACGAAGTAAGGTATAAAGAGAAACATATATCGTGCTTGCTGTCATTCTCATAATCGCAGTCGTCATTCATGCTTTTTAAAAAAACACTTTATAAGATAAAAAACAAAAAGGGAGAAAAATTACTTAAAAAGCGACTGAGGAGTGGCGCAGTCGCTTTTTGAAGAAATTGTAACAAAGAGTTGTTACTATAGCTTGTAGAAAAAATCTAGGTAGACTTGTTTGAAGCCTTCTCTTCATCTCTCTTTTCCTTGTCTCTAGAATGTCCTCTTCTTTCTTTCCTTCTCCTTCTCTCTCTATCCAAGTTCATCGGTAACTGTGCCTCAGTTGCTTGATCGTACTGAGCGGTAGCGACTGCAAAATTATGATTTATACTGGGTATGATGCCGAAAGTTCCATCTTAGAGATTGTATGGTCATGTTACGGTAGGCATACGGTAGAGTGACCGCTGTTCCATACCAACCGTCTTTTTAAGCCAGGGCAGTGGCGTACCCAGGATTTCCTCTCGGGGGGGGGGGGGGCGACAAAAATTTTTTTCGAATGAAGGTGCGTGACGTTAGCCACGCACTCCGAAAAATTTTTAGGAGTGCTTCTCAAAATTTTTGCAGGTCAAATTTCTAAAAATTATTTTAATTATTTACAAAAATAAACAAGTCACTTGCACATTTTTATAACCCATACTAGCTGGCTTACCCGGCTCCGCCGTATGTTCCGAATAGAAAATTCCATTTCTTAACCGATCCGGACCAAACTTGGCACACATACACTTCGGGCCCCGGCGGGTGCCACAGTCCACTTTTCGTTATCGATCGATGTCGATTTTATCGATTTTTTGCAAAATTTGAGCTAGGGGGCTGGAATTTGGCAGGGAGGTGTAGTCGAGCATGCTGATCACCCCCACGGGGGTGATCAGCATGCTCGATTACCCCCCCCCCTGTGCCCAACTCCCAGCCCTGTAGCCCAAATTTTGCAAAAAATCGATAAAATCAATATCGATCGATGACGAAAAGTAGCCTATGACACCCGCCGGGGCCTGAAGTGTATGTGTGCCAAGTTTGGTCCCGATCGGTTCAGAAATGGAATTTTCTATTCGGAACATACGTACAGACAGACAGACAGACAGACAGACAGACAAACAGACATTCAGCTTTATATATAAGATAAGTAACTTTCAAAAATTTCGCGACCCATTTTCGGGGGGGGGGGGGCGCCTCCCCCCCTCGGTACGCCACTGAGCCAGGACATCACGTCTTTTGAGCCTCGTCGTTTACAAGCCTAACTGTGTTACTTTGCGAATCCCGAAATGAGTACGGTATGGTTACGGTGGATTCTTTATAATCACCTTACTAGATTATCATTCTGCACAACATATAAGTTATAGCCTGTCAATGAAATCGCGCTCATGCTGTGCGACTAGCGTAATCCCACAGTAATATTGATCTTGTCGTCCTAATTTGGACATCTGGTGTTGTAAAGAAATACGATTAATTATCGATCAGCTGTTTTAGGGTGGAAACGCACTTTATTTGAGAAAATATGTGCACTTTCTCTGAACTTCTATGGAAGGTAACAGTATTAGTATAGGCAAAGGGCGACACTTTGGCTGTAACGACTTACAAGAATCTTGGAAATCATGTATTCTTGTCAAAAAGTAAGTACGCGACAGATTTAGGGAAGAAAGTCGCCGATTTGAATTTGGCAACGGGTAATCGAATCTGGGAGAACGCAAAAAGTTATTGTTCTGAAGTTTGTTCATCGCCAGTTCGCTCTGATGAAGTTCACAAGAATCACAGTACTAAACATTTCTTTAGGCAAGCATGGCGAACAGTAAAGATCGGCAAAGATCTCAACGTTAGTACATTTTTTGCTACGTTCCTCCCCCCTTCCCCCTTCTCCCCCCCCCCCCTCGATAGATAAAAGTATTATGTTTACTTACTCTGTTCCTTTGTAAATGTGCCAAACTCGCACATCTTCACGATAGTGAGAACCTTTGAGCAGTTGACATGTATTGCCGCTCCAGCTTTGCAGTTTGATTCACCGGGTGCAGACCAGATAGAGATAGTTCTAGCGCCAAAAGACTGTAAAGTTATCTTATTATGGATATCATCTAAAAGAGGTTTTATTAAAAAAATAATTTTTTGGAGCAAGCGTCATTCGAACCTTCATTTGAAAACTCCCTTTCTTGATTCGCAATACCCATCAGGGTATTGCGAATCAAGAAAGCGAATTTCAAAGAATATAGTTCTTTTGCACCCTACAGTATGCTACCATAAGCTCGCGCGCGTTTGCTTAGGGCGCGACATGACTGCTAAAACTGTTCTCTTTTTCGATGCGCATTGATATTGCCTTCTTATGTCTCTGCCTTTCAGTCGCGCTGGACTACGGTAGCATATGTTTTTAAGTGTGCAATAAGGACTTAACTTAGAATGTCTTCGCAGGATTTCGAAGCTCTTGCTATGCTTTCATAACAGATTAGAACAATACTATTTTAGGGTTGTCTGATGCATTCGGACAATATCATTACACACAATTCGAAGAGCAGCGCTTTTTTGTATTCTATATATTTGCACCCAAAATCCTACCTGATAGCCTTGTTTTACAGGATTTCGGCTTCTTATCAACATTTCCATCCCAAGAGATCTCAGCACCTGCTCGGTCTCATCACACATTGGATTGAAACGACGGCCACGAGCACCTAATAGGAGGTTTTCAAGGGTGCAAACTACTGTTCTAGAGTCTAAGACTTACCAGGTATGAGTCCTGAAGTTTTACTTACTACACTAAAAATCAAATCAGCTGCAACGGTCCCTTTGCGTACATGGTGAATAGGTCGACGAATGTCCATAATGTCGCTAAGTTTGGTCATCTGCAAACAAAGTTGTACCATTACCCAACATTTTAGAGCGCTTTTTGTTGGGTTCTAAGTATGTAAGGAATAAAAGCCACAAATCTGGCTGATTTTTTTAATGAAAGCAAGGACCTGTTGTCCCTCCCGGATGGCAGGCTTTTTGAATTACGGTTTATCAAATCCTGTACCTACTGTGGAGCCTTACATCGAGGCTTGCTTGCATTTAGTCACGCTATACCCATGCTTAAACATCTCTTTATGTGCGAAGTTCCAAGGTAGTCCGTTATTTTGTTCTTCTACCGTATATCTACAGTTACCGACAAAACAACTAGGCTGTTCGGAGCTAGTGTGCTACTGCCACGACTCAGTATCGTGTGCCGCACTGAATTATTACTAGCAAATGCCTTGAGCCATCACTACGGTTTGCAATAATTTTGCTTGACTATCTCAATTATTTCTTTCAAGTTTAATATCTAGAAATTTCAGGACCAATACCAAAGAACCAAAAACTACCGGTGTGCAAATCCGTATGCACGCCATCAAAAGTCAAACATTTGAGCAAATAACTCGTTGTGTTTATCGATGTCATGCAGTACATTATCGTCAACATAATATGCGTTCTTTAGTCCCTGATCAAAAAACACCATGAAAGTGTGTGCGACAAAACTTACTCTCGGTGTAATCCCGCCGTGGCAGCAGAATATTGTGTCAGCAACGGTAGCCGCAAGAGGTAGATAGCCACAAGCACGCTGGATTACTCCTGCTAGGCATAGCGTGACTCGACGAGAGAAACGGCCCTAAAAAGGTGGAACAGAATTGCGTTGTACAAAAAGTTAACACTATTTCTTGCTACCTCGATGTCGAGAGGGTAAACCTCCGAAGCGCCGCGTAGTAGATAGACATGATTGGGCATTTGTTTCTGTAATGAGAATCATATAAAACCTTTGCAAGACTTCAACAAATATATATTGATAAACTCTTGTCTAAAATGGCTATTAGACCTGCTAGTGATGTTGCTCAATTTGCACAGTGGCACTTGTGGTATTACGGTAGACATGGTAAATGAAACTGTAACCATGCTTGAAGTGCTGCTCGTAGGTATGGTGATTCCACATGCCACTCACAAATATTGTTGGCGTTTTGAGCCGGCTTTTCTTTTCTTTGTTCTTCTTTTGGCCTTTCTTTTTATTAACTTTTCTTTTCTGATTAGTTACTCAACCTATGATCGGTCCTAACAAATCAGTCTTGATATTTCTAGCATTTTTAGCACCATACTAGGTCTCATAAAAGCTGCAGATCCGTAATCTCTGCCCTGTGTACCGTATACCCACCGTAAGCACACAGGTACTGTGCGCAATGACTTTACTTGGGCTCGATGACCAACATAACCTTGATTCAACTGGCTTGGCTTCAGGAAGGCGGGGAGTTGTGACCTAATTGAGGTCGCTCGCGCCCGCGACGCACCTGCGTCTCTCTCGCGCGAGTACTCTCTAATCACTGCCCAGTCTTGATAGGTCACGAAGCCCCGCCTTCCCGAAGCCAGTTGAATCAAATGGTATGTGATCCTTGTAGACTATGCTTTAGTTAATTCATTTTTCCGGTCATGATACATTTGAACCTTGCAGTTTTTTTTCCAAGAACTTCTTTGTCGAAGTTTTAACAATACTTCTTTTTCTTGAACTTTCGATTTTTCTCACCTTCAGTGCAAACAACAGTGTTATTGTTTCTAACGAATAATATTTTCCATCTGCTGTATAGCCGCCCAAAAACAGAACTTTCCTCTTTGGAGGCCATCCATTTGAGTGCAACCATCGATAAACGGTGCTGAAACAGAGATCGCTTTTTTTCGTTTTTTCAAACAACTGCAACACTATGTACGTGATGTTGGGCAATTTATTATCTTGATTGAAAAATGTGGGGAACAAAAAGTTCTTAGAAGAAAATGAGAAAATGATCAATGGAGTTAGATAAAGAAGGTAGGTTGATGAATTACTTCTTGAAAGTTTGTTCTTTTTATGTAAAGTTCAATTATTTCATGAGAGAGAGTCGTCCTATGTATTTCAAAGATGCAGGTATCTTAAACAGGGGTTTTGATTAAAACTGAAGATTTTGTAAAGTTTTCGGTTTATTAAGATTGCATGATGAAGTGGATGGATGAATATAAATCAAAGTTCAGAGGCTGTGACTGGTTAACACACTATTGTTTTCAAATTTTTGAAATGTTAAAACTCCTAAATACAAACAAGTTATAAACGTACGCATAGCTCCCATCAATATTTCCATATATCCAGACATCTGAAGCCAGTTGGAGTAGACTGGGTTCTCTGGCAAGCAACTGTGCCACTGAGTCAAATAGATCTCCTACCTAAAAGTCTACATTTACACTTACTTTCGAAAACTTTAAATCAAGTGTCTCCATTTTGAATTACACTATGACTCAAAATCAATGCCTAGGCTGAGCACTTGGGTTTCATCTGACCCAGTTTGGAGTAGAGTTTCTTCTGATCCAATCGGGAGTAATTGAATAGGTCACTGCCCAGGAGGCACGCCGTATGTGTTGCGGTTAGATGGTTTCGGTTCGTAGCACCCCTAGCGGTGTGCTCGACTACCCTGCTCCGCTAAACCTATACCGTAAGATATTACGCGTCCACGACCGACGTCGGCGCGTCCTCACTACGCTGGCCCAACCTATGAACTGCGCGCGACAAACAAGAAATATCTCTATATTCTCTATATATAAAGCAGAAAATCTGTGTTTTTGTGTGTTTGTCCACATTTCTCATAGTTATGAAAGATGCACTTCTCTCCTCATCCTTCCCTCAAACGGTCGGCTAGCTTTAGTTCTGACGTATACCGTCACCAAGGATAGGATCAAGAAGACAAGGTGGAAGAAACCTTGGCTCGTCCACTGCGTCTACTTGGTCGAGAAGTTATGGACCAAGATCGCAATGTCACGAGAATGCGCTGGTTGGCACGAACAAATGAATTCTTTTCATCGAAGACGATCGAAGTCGAAGTCGCCCAACTCAAGCCATAAACGGAAACATCGCGGTATTAATTATATAACCGCTGAGGATGAATAAATGTATGTATCATCGGCTCCCAGATTGGTGTGGAGGTGAAGCGACGAGCGCGTCTGCGTACCGAACATCTTAACATACGCCAAAAAGATCAGCTGTAGCGTCATGGCCGCTGGAGACATAATCTGGCTCTTTTTATGTTTTCTTCGTATTTTTCTTTGCTTCCTTCACTGAAATCACATCAGACGAACGCATTAAGTTTTTCCGTGTTTTTTCGTAACTGAAAGCAGTTGTTCACTTTGCGGACGCTGTGAACTGGCATTTCTTACCGAGTCATCCTTTTTACATTTTGGGCTTATTTCAGTTATTTTTGTCATTAGTGTTGTATTAGTCTCATCTCGTTCGTAATCGCTGTGGTGAATCCTGCTTTTGTTTTTTGCAGATAACGAAGTAGCATATTGGTGAGTTATTTAAGTCCATCGAATTACTTCTTTGTTTTCTTCGTTCTTCTTTATTCAGCATGCTTCCACTAAGAATCATGCATGCATGTGATGCTCTTTTTGTCTGTGTTCGTGTCCAATTCTTTGCATGCACTGTCATCCTCACTGTCATTCTCCATCACTCTTGCACTACTGTGAAGAGATTAATGCAAATTTGATTACTTTGAGCAATGACAACTTCACGAACTGTAGTTGTTGACTGGGAGTGGATTGGATTGACAAGGGTTACGCTGTAATGCTGCCCCTGAAAAAAAAAACCTATTTCCAGGATCAGTGCAGAAGTTAAAGTACAATACAACAGGAACATGTGTTCACCACAGCGATTACGAACGACCACAACGTCAAGAGAAAAAATGATGAGACTGATACAATACTAATGACAAAAATAACTGAAATAAGTCCAAAATGCAAACCAAAATGCAAAAAGGATGACTCGGTAATAAATGCCAGTTCACAGCGTCCGCAAATTAGTGAACAACCGCTTTTAGGTACAAAAAAAAACATGGAAAAACTTAATGCGTTCGTCTGATGTGATTTCAGTGAAGGAAGCAAAGAAAAATACGACTCCAGCGGCCATGACGCTACAGCTGATCTTTTTGGCGTATGTTAAGATGTTCGGTACGCAGACGCGCTCGTCGCTCCACCTCCACACCAATCTGTGAGCCGATGATATGTATGTATGAAGGATGAGCTGTGAAACTCATTTTGATCTGCTGGTCATCAAGATACGGTAAGGACGATAGGAAGCGAACCCAAGACGCGTCAATCAAAAAAAGGGTAAATTTTGCTGCATTAGAGGTCAAGTTGGAGGCTTCAGAACGAGGAACCTGGGATGCCAGCTTGTTCAAAAATATACACAAAAATTACCAAACCAGGACCTTAGATAGATGATCAAGAATTATAACACGGAACGAGCCGCGTAGTCCCGTGCTGCAGATGCATTACAGAGTCAATCAACATGAAATCGCCTGGACTTCTCCCCCAGAGTCCTCAGCAAGAAGTCCTGGTCCAACTAGAACGGCGCGACTTCAGCTCCACTCCCTCAGCGTTTAATATTAACTAATACGAAAACCCTAAGTCTTTTCGCGCTATTGCACCTCCAATACACAAAACATCTTCAAGCTCAAAGGCTCAATGTAAAATCCTCGCATGCTGGAGATGTTGAAAACGGGGCTAATTATGATAAGAGTACAACCAACAGCGAAAACGAAGTTGAAGAGGCGAAGGTTCCACGCGCAGCTTCATATACCTCGCCACTCGGCCGCATTTTCTGCCGGAGTGGTCTTGCGGCGATTACGAAAGGCGCGACAGGTGATGCAGCATACAGCGCTCCCGGCAACTATTCCGAGGAGCTGTTCTGCATCGCGGATCCGCAACAGTAAGATTCAATCCCTCAGACGCAAAATACGACTATAAACGCGAGCCCAGTACCGTGCTCTTGCGAACTGACAAATCAGCATCGCGTATATGGTTTGGGCGAGAGTTTTAATTCGAAGTTTTCGACCACGAATAGATGATATAAGCTGCTGCCTGGACAATGACTTTGTTTGGGCTCCTCAGTTGATATTTGAAAAAAATCTTGATTTGCGTGGACACCTCTGTGTCTTCCTTCTATCTGTATAGAATCTCTGAGATTACGGTAGCATATGTTTTTTTTGCGAGAGAGAGCTACTACTATCTTTTTCCAAAACTTCCTACCACCTACCTCAGTTGGATCAAAATCGAACTCATATGGCCATGCTCGACCATTTTCATAGCTAAGGAGGAAAATTTCGTTTGTACTTTACGACGAACCTAAAAAGCTTCTGAACATGTGACTATTATTCATTCAATCAAGTAAACAAACTCTTTTAGTGACGGTCGCATCTTGCTGTGTAGTATGAACTTCTAAAAACATATTTGCCTCTTGGTCTTCGATGGTTTCATTCTAAAGAAAACTAGTTTTGGTGGCATCAACAAATCTTGCCATCATGAAACGTACCACCGGAAATTTGTAAGCTTGGTTAAAGTAGCGCAGCGTGTCGTGTAGTCTACGGAGCGACGAAAAGTTAGGACTGATCGAAAAGTACTTGTTTATTTCCTGAAAAGTAGAAAACCCCTTTCTTTTCGGATTCTAGTTTCTTCTTACTAATAATGGAAGAGCATTTGGCAGCTGGTCGATAAATTGCGCTCTTTCGGCTCGTTTAAGACTTTCCTTGCGTCGGTCTTCCAAGTGACTAGTCATTATTGGCACAATAGTTATGGTAACTAGTAGAAGTACGATGAGATACGGTAGAGCGTGTTTAAATTCTCTTTCTGATTCTTCAGCGAGTCGAACTTGCTAAAAAGCAATGTTTGTTCTTGGCCATGGGCTAGCTATCAAACCATCCAAGTACCGAAAAAACTGGCTCATCAACTTCGTTACAGTAATCGTCCTCGCAACACAACAAAGCTCCTTGTATTTGTTTCTGTAAAATATCTCTTATTTACATATAAATAAAACTCATTGGCAGTTTGGAGTGCATTATAGAAACGAGTCCCACTCAACGAATTGAGCCGAAGCTTTGCACATGTTTTCGAGTGCGCAAATGTGCGGATGATAGGCTATTATTTACAGCGATTTGTTGGGTCCTTTTATCGATTTATTGATTTGTTTACGTTCTCTAAGAAAATGAAGGTTTACCTCGGACACTTTTTCCGACGGCCCGCGCGCTTTCATGAGCCTACCGTGCGAGCGGCGCGCCTAGATTTGTGGGCGTGGCATCGTTTCCGACGGGCGGCGCGCCATCGAAACCTGCCGTGCGAGCGGCGCGCCTTGCCTTCGACGGGCGGCGCGCCATCTTGAGTGACCGGGCGAGCGGCGCGCCATCAACAATTATGTAAGAACAACGAACATGTAACTTAACAAGACGCGTAAGCATCATTTTGAATTCGTTGTTAGCCGTAGGAGGTTGCATTTGTTATCGCATCGTTGGTTTCTTGTCCGTTTTGCCGGCTAATCGTCTCCATTCTTTGTAAGTTTTTTCTGGTTCACATTTGCACAGTCATTGTCATCCATGCGCTCCCTACCGTAGCATCTTAGCGTCCGTATTGCGTCCGCTATTCGGCTATCCGGGCCCCAGATTTTTCTGTCATGGATTTCGCTCAGACTTGGCCCAGAGGGGTTATCTGACGTTTGATCATGAATATCACCTTTCTCCGCAGGAAAACGCCTCCCCTAGGGTTACGGTAGGTATACGGTAGGGGGTCAAAATCATAGATTTGCCCGAAACTTGGTCCAGAGGATTTATTCGGCCCGCTGTGATGCTAAATATCACATTGGTTTTGAAACTAGCGTCATTTTCTCGGATTACGGTAGCTACACGGTAACGGGTGTAAAACGTAGTTCTGCCTGAAAAGGATGTACGGCGATTCGGACGATCGTGAAGTTTTGCACCCACGACCACCGCCGTGCGCTATACCCTGATGCGGCTTTTGCCTAAGCAAAGCATAGGGGAAGATACATTTGCCGATTTGTGATCTTGACCCCACCGTAACTATGCAGGGAGACGTTTTCGTGCGGAGTGATTTTTTGGTGCCATCGCCAGAGTTGTTTGCTATGTTTTTTCTTGATATTACAATATTTTGAAAGAGAATTGGGCCGCGGTCAGTCTCAAGCGTAAATCTGGAGGACCACAAACGTATGCGAAGCCTAGACCTGTTTTTCCACCATGTCTTACTGGGTATGTTTGTTATCTGGTTTTATTACCTCTAGTAGTTTCGTTTTCAGTAGAGAGAATGCTTTTGTGGAAAATGTTGTCGAAGACGAAGGTGCTCCCTCAATATCCAGATGGAATTAGAAGTTTCACAAGGTCCATAGCTTTTGCTTTTTTTCCTTTCTGTTATGTTTCCTAGGCTTTGTTTTTTTCAGGTAACGTGTACGAAAGACGCGAGTTTCATGTTGAAACTCCTCTACGAGGAGTTTGGCCTCTTCCATTGCCTAGTTCACTTCATGAATGTGTTGAAAACGGAATCTTGCACATTGACAGGGCAGCCCTTCTAATTTTGTCGAAGATGCATCGCCCAGAGTCTAACGAAGCGGTCTACTACGTAAGTACGAGTACATTGATTTTGATAAAAACATACAAATTATTTCTATGACTTTATCAGATCCGATATCGTACTACGCGCTAAAGTCCTTACGGCAGTTTGAATCGCATGGTAGGATCGACATGCTATGGTATATTGCTAATCGCATGACAGTACGGCTGCACATTTTGGAATGTCATATATTCCCGTTTTTTTGCTCAATCAGGTCATTCTTACCGGTCTCTAAAAGTGCTTTCTCATTATCAGCATGGCTGCTGTGCTTTAGTGTTTTCAACAGGGTGCTTAGCGTAAAAGGTATTGATGATATTATAGTTGTTGCCTGTTGTGTTCTGCTTGATTCTGTATTATGTCGTTCTGTAAGTCTTTGGATAATAAATCTGCCATTATTATACCTGTATACATGTTTGGCAATAAATCTAACGCTATAAGGTCGTATTTCAATGATAAAATATGAATTTTATCAAAGGATTGCTATCTGTATCACAATAGGGTCCCACAACGCTTTCAAAGGAGCGGGCGAGCGGCGCGCCTTCAGCGAGCGAGCCGCGTGCCTTTATTCCACGGGCGGCGGGAGGCATGAGCGCTCGCACGCTCAAGGCGCGCGGGCCGTCGGAAAAAGTGTCTGAGACCATGTTTCAAGCAAGCATTTCCCTATATTCATGTAAACGGGGGCGGTAAGTCTCATTTCTACCTCAGAATCACGAGGATGCGGTATCAAGTGGATGTCCCGGGAAATCATCCATAAAGGGCCAGGCATACTTCACGCGATTTCAGTCGCGACGCGATTTGGCAATATTCCAACTGTCCATAACTCACTATAAGCACATTTTAAATGTACAGAATATATGGCCTTTTATTAATCCACGTGAGGTTATACACACTATGCATGTGCAATTTGCTAGTGTTGGATCTGAAGACTTCTGGCGAACTGCCAAATCGCGTCGCGACCGAAATCGCGTGAAGTATGCCTGGCCCTTAACATGGAAGGGGGGGGGGGAATTTGCAGTGCAGTAATCTTGCGACAACCTACAGCATCTATCTCACAGCTAGTGAGCAATGGCCCGGGCAGTGCCGGAAAAGCCAGTTAGTCATAAATATGGAACGAGGAGCTCTTTCACAAAAAATTAGTGATAACTGCTTCAACACCTGTGCATTCAGGCCAGATTTTGCTCTGACGCTTTACAATTGCGCTGAAGCGGCAATGAAAGTAAACCTTACAGGAGAAACGTTGAAGGGTTTTGTATTTGATATTCTAGGTTTTGTCAGTTCAAAGTTCATGTAGACCACTTATCGTTGAATGGCAATGAATAAGGATTCCTGCTCAGCGTTCACATAAACAAACACACCGCGATGATTCCGTTTATGGCTTCGGTCAGGCAGTAGTTTGTCTTCACTAACAAGATCCATTTTTTTGCCACTCTGCGGTGGTCGCAACGTTGCGAGTTTGCCCCAGGACTTCTCGATTATGGAAAATGCGGTGGACCAGGCACTGTTTCTTCCGCCGATCTTGCTGGTTCGATCTTCGTTTGCTGATTTAGGTCAGATCTAGAAGTTGACTGACCGCTCGTGGGGAAGATGAGGAGTGAAGTATGTAGTGTCTCCGAGAAACGTAATTAATTTTTGCCCTTTTTTGGGTTTTTGCCGAGGGCCAAGTTCAGGTTGTGAAAGTGCGAACAAAAACGGCACGACTTAGCGGTTCGACAAGGAGTCTGTTCAACGTTTCGCCTACTCACAGCTCCAGGACAGTCTCCTCGACCTTCAACGCTCTCCTCGACTCGCAGAGCATGACAAGTATCATGTCACTGTCTGCAAGAAGAGACCAGGAAGAAAGAGTGCGGCATATGAATGATGGACTTTGTTACGTCAGAAAGTTTAATCATGGAAAATTAAAGTCAGCTTTGTCCTTCATCACCTAATGTGCATCATTTCAACTCGCATGAGATCCCTCACCTCGAGTAGCCATCTACGACTACGACCTTTACACCAGAAGACCATAAGTATCATTAACTGCTACTCTCAACATCAACAGCTGAGCCGGAAGTGAATGCTCACAAAAAGATGTGGAGGTTGTAAATACAGTTTTTTAAAGCTGTTAACCAAGGTTGGTAGCAAGACCTTTATTGTACGAAAAGCCAACGTTTCGGCGGTCCGTCCCCCTTCTTCAGGGCTTTCTGAAAGATCGAGACTTTGAGAACTGCCCTCCCAAACACCGTGTTTGGCAATGGATTTAGTTTGACTATGTGATAGAGTGGCAGAGTAGTGTTTGGCAATGGATTTAGTTTGACTATGTGATAGAGTGGCAGAGTAGATGTTGAAAGCCTGGCCTCAGCCTTGCCAGATCAAGATTTAGAAACCGAACGAACAGTAGTGCGCTGCAGCTGCGCTAGTGAGTATGATAGTTAGTGTCAACAATGCCCTTTATATGGTCATAGAAAATCTCGTATCAGAATCGACATAGCGTTTGATAAGAGAACAGTTCACTGTTTATGGCAATGCCTTCATCTTTGCGATTCATTTTTGGTGATTTGGACGCTAAAAAGGCCTCCAGCGTTTTGCGGGCTATTAACTCGGACTCGTGCGACAAGTTCGTTACAGTGCTTGAAAGTACTGGTTCTCATGACATAACCTTCGATGTGCACCCAAAGGTGTGGACATTTTAGATTTTCTAAGGCCGTCAAGATGCTTTATAATTCTAGTGCACAAGGGTCTGCCAGTCTCTCCTATGTACAGGTCACCGCATTTTTGACAGGTTATGAGATACACCACTCTCATTTCCATGCAGTTGCCTGCTTTCCCAGACGGGCAGATGACACAATCAGCGGTCGTGCAGATTCTGTCATATGCTCGACTGCGGCTAAGTTGTTTTTTGAGATTAGGAGGTGGTATATCTATAACTCTGACGGAATCATCGAGACCCGCTTGTATTAAGGATTTTCTGATAGCTCTGCTGAAATCATCAGTCACGAATGGAACACAAAACGGTGATTTTGTTGTCTGGTTCATTTCGATCGGTCTGCATTCTTGCCTACAGGTATGCCTTGGTACACCATTTGTGAGATAGCCGTTAGAATATGCAATCTGTTTGGCAAGGTTTACCGATGCGTTGCGCTGTTCAACATTGGACGAAACCGCTTTTGCTGTCTTGAACATGTTTCCTATCACGGATCATTTCAAGCTCCGAGGATGCGCAGAGCGGTAGTGAATCAATATATTCTTACTAGCGGGTCTTACTATTATTTGGTTACGTATGATCCGTGAGATAAAGACACTTGGACGTTTAGGAACGCTAGCCAATTTTCATCGGGTTTATCCCGCGTGAACCTTATGTTAGGGGACTGCTATTCAGAATGTCGAAGCATATGTCATTTCATTTTAAGTTGGACATATGATGCAGCAGTCGTCGGTGTATCGATAAAAGAGTAAGGGATTACGATTAAGCACGGGTTTCTCGATTTTTGACATGAAGACGATTGCGACGACGGGAGCCATTCTCTGCCCCATCGCTAGGCCACGTACCTGCTTGCATTACCTTCCTGACCATCGAAATACGCTGCAATTCATGCATTCCTTCAAAAGTGTGAAGGAATGCACACACAAGCACAAAGCACACACACTTTTGAAGGAATGCCTGAATTGCAGCGTCGATGGTCAGAAAGGTATTACAAGCAGGTACGTGGCTTAGCGATGGGGCAGAGATTGGCTCCCGTCGTCGCAATCGTCTTCATGTCAAAAATCGAGAAACCCGTGCTTAGTCGTAATCCCTTACTCTTTTATCGATACATTGACGACTGCTGCATCATATGTCAAACTTAAAATGAAATGACATATGCTTCGACATTCTGAATAGCCAGTCCCCTAACATAAGGTTCACGCGGGATAAACCCGATGAAAATTGGCTAGCATTCCTAAACGTCCAAGTGTCTTTATCTCACGGATCATACGTAACCAAATAATAGTAAGACCCGCTAGTAAGAATATATTGATTCACTACCGCTCTGCGCATCCTTGGAGCTTGAAACGATCCATGATAGGAAACATGTTCAAGACAGCAAAATCGGTTTCGTCCAATGTTGAACAGCGCAACGCATCGGTAAACCTTGCCAAACAGATTGCGTATTCTAACGGCTATCTCACAAATGGTGTACCAAGGCATACCTGTAGGCAAGAATGCAGACCGATCGAAATGAACCAGACAACAAAATCACCGTTCTGTGTTCCATTCGTGACTGATGATTTCAGCAGAGCTATCAGAAAATCCTTAATACAAGCGGGTCGATGATTCCGTCAGAGTTATAGATATACCACCTCCTAATCTCAAAAAACAACTTAGCCGCAGTCGAGCATATGACAGAATCTGCACGACCGCTGATTGTGTCATCTGCCCGTCTGGGAAAGCAGGCAACTGCATGGAAATGGGAGTGGTGTATCTCATAACCTGTCAAAAATGCGGTGACCAGTACATAGGAGAGACTGGCAGACCCTTGTGCACAAGAATTATAAAGCATCTTGACGGCCTTAGAAAATCTAAAATGTCCACACCTTTGGGTGCACATCGAAGGTTATGTCATGAGAACCAGTAATTTCAAGTCACTGTAACGAACTTCGCACGAGTCCGAGTTAATAGCCCGCAAAACGCTGGAGGCCTTTTGGATAGCGTCCAAATCACCAAAAATGAATCGCAAAGATGAAGGCATTGCCATAAACAGTGAACTGTTCTCTTAACGCTATGTCGATTCTGATACGAGATTTTCTATGACCATATAAAGGGCATTGTTGACACTAACTATCATACTCACTAGCGCAGCTGCAGCGCACTACTGGTCGTTCGGTTTCTACATCTTGATCTGGCAAGGCTGAGGTCAGGCTTTCAACATCTACTCTGCCACTCCATTACATAGTCAAACTAAATCCATTGCCAAACACTACTCTGCCACTCTATCACATAGTCAAACTAAATCCATTGCCAAACACGGTGTTTGGGCGGGCAGTTCTCAAAGTCTCGATCTTTCAGGAAGCCCTGAAGAAGGGGGACGGACCGCCGAAACGTTGGCTTTTCGTACAATAAAATCTTGCTACCAACCTTGGTTAACAGCTCTAAAAAACTGTATTTGCGATGTGGAGGTTGTCTTCAACAAAAAATCCTTGCAAGTCTGTGTGGGCGACTTTGAAACCAGTGCCTTGGCAAAATTGCTACTGCCTTTTCATGCCCTTTTGGATCGCTGAGTCCTTGCAGTTTGAAATCTGTGGGTGGGCAAGCATATTCGGCCTACCTACACGGCTGAATTAAGACTTTGACACGAATTTTGTTTTCGGAAACGATGGTTTGAGATGGGGCTTGAATTAGAGTTTCTCGGTGGAGCTGTCATACAATATTATTTCATTATCTTCACATCTGCCTGGACACTGCCTTCCGTGAGGACATTGGTCGACTGCTACAAGGACTGTAGGACAACACTACGGATTTCATCGTTTCCTGAGCATGCCATACCAATCCGAAGGCAGTCCGACGAGGCGACACAATCGCAGAATCTAATCTCGGCGGCCCTGCAGTGGGTGACATTGTTTTTTAGCAGTATTTTGGAGCAGAGGAGATGCTGAAGGAGCTCGACGAAGTAAAGAGCATCGGACTGCGAATGATTGGAGGAACGTAGTGCTAACGCCCTCCATGACGTGCAGACATGGAATTTGAAGACTTTTATTGATGACGTCTTCTCACTCTGAAGAAAATTCCATGCAGCTCCTCAGACTTCGCAGTAGGTATGTGAGATTGTATCATCGTGACACAGCAGAATACGCAGCAAAAGCGAAACATTGGCCACATTTTTAAAAAGTAGACGACAGATGGACAGCAACAACATCGAAGGGTACTTACAAAACAGGGCGCTCTCGGGGAAGAGGGCCTACGAGATGTGTAGAGGTTTTTGTGGAACTTATGGACCAACTGAGAGATCGAGTGCATACCATTTTCAGGAGCAGATGACAGCTGCGCTGGGACCTTTGAGCAACGTAAGCACAGACCACCCAAGTCAGTAAGTACAAAACGCAGCAGAAGCTAATTCAAGACTCTCCAACTGTCTTCTGGAAATCATCTATCATCTATCTATCATGAAACTGTTGATGAAAGAGTCTTGAAAATTCTTTGACGTTTTCCAGTGCGCATCGCATATCTGGGACTGCGACTGAATTCCAAAAATCAACTCCTAGTGTGTACAAAACTTATTCTTTGAAGACAGTGTCTCGGCAGACTTGCGCCCTGGGTGACATAGCGTGGTGGGGTTCCTGGTCATCCGATTAACCACCACGCTCAGTCCGGCTGTTTGATTCCTGCGACGAGAAAATAGCCCTCGAACCGGCGCGCACAACCCAAATCGGCGCGCGCTAGGACAGCTTCGCTTGCATATTCGGCGCGGGACCTCACGAGCGCCTCCGCGTTGTGCAAGCGATTTAAAGCAAAGTTACAGGCGGCAGGGCCTGTGTGCCAGGGCCTCTCAACTTTATATTGAGACTCTCTTCCGTGCTGCTCTTTTGAAATTGGGTAAACGCCCTAAAAACGGCTTTTCACCCGTTTCAAAGCTCAAATTCGGGTTCTACGGCGGCCTAAAACATGTACAAAGATGGAAATGCAAAATCTGCCGGGACTGCTTTCAAAGTATGTTGTAGCCGGAAACTCGCCCTATGATACTGCACATCGAACGTAGGGTTTTTCTCGTGCTCTTGTTGAACATAGACGCTATAAGTATTTGTACATATATACTACGGTGAACGGCAAAAAATGGGGATTCTAAGATTTCATGTTTCGATCAAGAGCAAGTAGGCTGCAATTCAAACGTCGGAAAAATCATATTTGAACCTAGATCTTTCGAGAACAGATGAAATATGGGGTCAACAATATATGGATAGATAGAACGTAAAGAGCTCTATCAGAGCCAGATAACGTGCGTTCGCTTGCAAAGAAGTAAATAACACGCACTTTCCGGAAAATGCTAATGACCATATCCCTTGATTTTAAGTGTTGCGGCCAGCAGGCCATCGTGAGTTCGGTGATTTCACCTTCACCCATTGTATAGTCGTCCTCACCCCACTAGTCGGTCGGTGGTCGAATTTGAAATCGAACTGGAGCAGGTCGGCCGCGACAGAGCGCGGCAGACCGCCCCTGAACCAACCGTTTGCACATGAGTTTTCTCTTATTTTCTTCGTGTTTCTTTGGTATCGCTCGTATTGCTGCAATGTTCTTAATCAGATTTTTAGATTTCTACCGCTTACTATTGTTTTGTGCAGTTGTGCTCGTTTGTTTTACATTTTTTCCAGGTAAACCGGGGAGAAGGATGCTGCTGGAGATTTTTGAATGAGAAATCTCTTTTCCGGTAAGTGACATATACACAGATGTGATTTAATGAACTGTGTCAAATTTTTCGTTAGAATGTGTACTCTGAACTTTTTTTTATGATAGGGGTGAATTTCTCTTTAAAAAATGTTGGTTTCAAAGAGCTAGCCATATGAAACCTGAAAATCTGATTAAGAACATTGCCACAATACGAGAGACAGCAAAGAAACACGAAGAAAATAAGAGAAAATCTCGTGCAAGCGGTTGACTGAGGAGCGGCGTCTGCCGCGCTCTGCCGCGGTCGGCCTGCTCCAGTTCGAATTCAATTTCGACCACCGACCGACTAGTGGGGTGAGGACGACTATAGCAGTGCTATTTTGGATGGTCACTCAGATGTTTCACTGAGCAGATACTGCTCGAAGTTTATAATTTGTCGAAGTGAGTGACTTTGCATTCCAGCAAGTATAAAAAGGACCTTACATGGGTGTTGTGTGAAAGAGAACAATATATTCTAATATCTGTCAAAACTGGAAAGTTCGCGCTATGACGGCAACTGACGACACTCTTATTAGGTAACTCCTTAGTACCCATCATGACAAACTGTAGAATTGTGTACCATGGACGAGTACATATCCAAACAAATCAGAAGAGACAAATGACAAGAGAAATACTGGAAATAACCAGTTTCTTATCTTACTTTATCAAGTAGCTCGCATAGTATTCAACATTATATTAAGTTACAAATGACTTGAGGGTGCTTTCTTCTGTTCTTACTAGTAGGGGCCGCACGCATCAACATCCCCACCGGGGAGGGCATCGCAGCTTAAAAGAAAGCTTCATATTCTGAAGCTCCAGATCTGTATTTCACGCTGTCTACTCATCCATCGTCCTTCATTATGAACATACTGAACGCGAGCAAGAACCTGTACAGGCCGCATTCTTCAGCTTTTTGTGTGATTCCATGGTCCCATGTTGCCGCCAGGTTTTGCTTCAAAGTCGTTTTTCTCTCTTCGGAGTTAAAGAAAACATTCCCAAGTTGTACTGATTATCTAACCCAACAGCGCCAAAATGTTGCTGATGAAAACAAATGATGTATTGGAGTCATGAAATTTGCCATGAACCACATGTCAAGTTGGGGTTTTCGAAAAATTCGATATTTCAAAAACTCATCTGTTCTTATTAGCAACATGCTTAGCACTGTTGAACTGGATGATCAGTACAACTTTGGAAAGTTTTCGTTAACTTCGAATGGAAGAAAATTGATTTTGAAGGAAAGGCTGCCGATTGGCGGGGATCGCCTAGGGATCATAAAAGGTGGAAAATGCTTCTCTTCAACTTCTCGCTCGTGTCCAACGTGAAGTAGTGAAGCATGATGGGAATACTTACAGATAGGAGAACTCTTGAAATCCAGATATCTGGAGCTTCAGGATAATGAAGCTGCGCTCTTTTGAGCTGCGATCCCCTCCCCGGTGGGTATGTTAAAGGCAGCGTCCAGGCATATTTGGACCTATGGGAATTTTACGTGGAAAGTACTTTTGGGGCCCTAACTAAGGCACTGTCCAGCGCAGGTAAATGCTCTAATGGCTGAGATATTCCCCTTGAAACTGGACCCCGCGATCGTATTCGCATGGATTCGTGGCAGTTTCGCGCCAGGATCCACGCTTTACGCTATGAATCCATGCGAAATACGATCGCGGGGGCCAGTTTCGAGGGGAATATCTCTCAAGCCGTTAGAGCACTACCTGAGCTGCCGGTTGGGCAGTGGCTTAATTAGGGCTCCAAAATTACTAATCACGTAAGATGCCCATGTGTCCAAACTTGCCTGGACGCTGCCTTCAATGCATGCGGCCCTAAGAATGGTAGTTCCTCCACTTTTGCTGCACTCTGTACAGTCTACTAACCCCTTTGAAATTGAGGGAAACACTGGGAAAGAAAGATTGTCCATGGTCGATACATTTCTGTGGTAATTCTTCTGCATACATGCAACCATAATGAGTAGACGGAGGGCTTTTTGTAGTTGATCTGTAATCTTACGATTAATTTATGTGAATGGGTATTATGCACCATGAAGTTTTAGCACTCACGGAACCACGATATAAACACAGAATGGGAAGATTCTTGCTTTTGGGAAGCGATTACAAGCAATATAATGAAATTTATTTCGCGACTCATCCTTTGCTGTGACGCATATGATCCGGTCCTTGAATTACACATTTGTTAGCTACTTTGCAGTTTTAATGTATCGAATTGAGCAATTTTTGAGATTGTGTCGTGTTATTCGCACGTTTGAGGAGTTAAAGGCACCGTCCAGCCTAAGTTTGCGGTTTTGAGCTTTTGGCAACATACGACAGTAGGACTCCCTTTTAAGCCAATGCCCAAGTCGAGGCGCAAAATGCGCTTCGGAAGCAAGAAAATCGCTACGGAATAGCGAAGAGGCACGAGGACTCCTAGGAGGCACCGCCCTCTTCCAGTACTGCCCGCCCATCCGTGCGTCCATCCAATCACCGTTTCAGAGAATTGGCCTGCGGGTTTTTCGGAATGGGGGTTATCGGGATTTTCGCTGATTTTCGACTTCAGGATTTAGGTGCATGAAAAGGACCGGAACGATAAATCAGGGAAGTCGAGAATCTGCGTGGACGGGTGCCTTTGAGGCGAAGTTATATCTAGGCTTAGAAATATGAACCGCTCCCTTTTCATTCGTTGCAAATGAATTTTCCATAACTCCAAGAGGCATAGTGTAACATCTTAGCTAGGCTAGCACTTCATTTTATTAGTAGGAATAGAGGGATGCGGTAGTGATGGAAGAGTCGTTTTGGCGGGGTTAGTTAAGACTTTTAGGAGAGGATATTAAAGGAATTTTAGGTTGCATTCATAGTAAATTAATTTGGAGCGGAATTTCCAATAAGTACTTAGCGCAGCCGCATTTGCAGTAGAAAATGAGTTTAAGAAAATTTTTCAAGACATCTTAAGCTCGTTCTTAGTACAAATCGCTTTAGAAGAATTTCATGGGGGGCGGGGGAAGGGGGAAATAAGCAGTCGAAAACACTCTCTTCGCGGTCCAGTATGGCGAGAATGTGTATGCGCTTTTTTGTTTTTTTTTTGCAGTAGGGGGTCATCGAAAAATTCGCGAATTATGTCGATTCTGTACTTGGCATACTTCATGTAATTTTCGATCTTTTCTGACGTCGTAAGCTACAATCTGTCCAAAAGAGCCATGGAAGCTGTAAAATAGCTTACAAGCTTGATCATTCCTTTGCCGTCCTGCGCATATCCTCCATCATATAAAATCAACATCAGCAGACTAATTAGAGTGACTGAGCGCTTCATGTTGGTAGGTGCAAAATGATTTCTTGAATCAGTGCAGGTTTTTATAGTGGGTGTTTGATTATCAGTGAAATGATAAAGCTTACCTGTCGGTATGCCATTTCCATGTCTGCCGGATGCGTGAGAATCTTCTTCATTGAATTTTGGGGTATACTTCGATACTAGGTGTGTCAAAGGGTATCTGAGGATGCCGCGTAACCAGCTTGTTATACATGCTTTCACAGTATATGTGAATCGTAGTGTCTCTTCTATCGGCAAATCCGCCGCGTTTGCGGCACGCAGCGTTCGCGGGCGTACGCTTCAGCAGTAATCGGATATTGATAGTGAGGCACCATCGCGGTGCGTATGCGAGCCGCACGCAAGGGGGCACCGCAGTTGAGATTGACTGTGACTACCAGTCTTGAAACATACTTAACCATCCAAGTACGCAAATAGGTTTGCCCTTCTCTCACAGCTCTGCGACAATTTCTTCCGTCAATTTAACAATAGCTATATCAAATAAGAATATTGTTTTAGTAGGGAAAGTAAGCTATAGAAGTATTTGAGATTTTGGCATTTTGGCATTGATTTTATGACTCAAAGTCGGTTATTCATCCGCCAGAGAAGTATGATGAATAGTCATTGAGTTTTACGATATCAAAATTTTGTCGAAACTTTGTAATTTGCTTAACATGTAAAGTAGCTTTTTGAACAAATTTTTCGACTTATGTGTACTTTTACCACAGTCTTATATTTATTTCATAATTTTTTCTTTCACTTTCAGATAAAGAAAAGGGCTGTGAAATTTGGGAATTTAGTGTATCAAATGCAATAGTTTGAAGCTTTATTCCATGAAAGATTTCATTCGTTGTTTCAAATCCTATTTTCTTTAGACCAAAGGTGCGCATTCTCCTTTGCAAATAGCGCCTTGACGATCTTTTTGCACTGGCTTTAAATCATCACCGACTTTGTATGTGACACGTCCGATACCGTCAAGCGTTACCTAAATAGTTGCAAGATTATATTCGAAGCCTCATAAATTTTCTGGTCTCATATAGGGCTTTAAAAATATCTTTCTTCACTCTATCAGTCCAGAAATTCCTTCGCAAATTCCCAAATCGCGCTCGCAACCCAGAAACCCCAAGAGAACTTTATGCTAGACAAATGGATTTCATGGAAATTCTTTTCATATGGAGCTGATTTATAATTTTTCTGACCTATTTGAAATTTCGCGAGCTATTTTGTGGGGAACGACCTCATTTATCTCATTTTTCGGAATCAAGTCATCCAAGGATGTCAGAGCAATGCTCGAGAAAAATGGGTTTTACTAGTTTTTCTCTTCAATATTGAACAGGGTTGTATTTGAATAATTTCTAATAGTTTTTACTTTCAAATATAATGTTGAGAAAGAAGAAGAATTTTCATGAGCTTTCTTTGTTTGCTAAATATGTGCACTCGTGATGGAACAGCGTTTTCGTTCTAAGTTTTCTCTTTTTTATCAAATTTTCCTAATTTCAAAGAATAACTCACTTTAACAGTGTGTGCGGGCTTTCCTGCTTCATCGAATGTAGCGATCTGCCAATCAGCGAGTCCACATTCATCAGCTTTCTGTTGGAAGGTATTCCTTTGTAGCTTCTTGGAGTAGGTCCATCTAAAAAATTACTTAACGTTAGTGTCTGTATTCATACTAGGATACTCATAGCTCTAATTCATGGTCTCGATACGAACCACGAGAAGCCCTTACTGATCTTCTTCTATAATTATGTCGCTGGATTGACTCGGAAATAGGTATTTACTCACTTCTCACTCTTCTTTCCGTTGCTGGCTGTGACTTGCGCACCGAATTTCTTGTCGGTGTCGGATTTGACGTGGACTATAATATCGCACGCAAATGCACATGAAACTAGTGCCAAGAGTAGAACAGCTGTCTGCATTCTGTAAGTAATTTAAAAAATACAAGAGAAGATTGCAAGTAGGGGCTGTGTTTTACGACGAATAAAGCGCAATCTGAAGTATAATGAAGGCGAAGCAGTTGAAGTAAACGATAGATCTTGATGCTCCATTGGAAGAGAATAAAGTCAAACAGATTCGTCACAGAATAGTTTGAGGATAGGAGGACGTTCTAGGAAAGCAAAAATAGTGATTAGGTACTCTAAAAAATAACTGTTTGCTGACACGACCCAGATGGCTATTGAAGTGAATTTCGCTTCACGCAATCCCTATCTCTGCCTATACAACCTCAATCACGAACTGTAAAAAGTTCCGAAATATAAAGTCCCAGGATTGATACTTTGCACAAAGAACGACGCAGTGAATACAGCAGCGATTGCATATTGAGCGAAACGATCTAGTGGTGGAATGACTCATATTGGCTACATTCTCACGCTGAGTCGGCTAAAGGACGGTTTGATGACAGGTACGGGGATGATCGCTATGGGAAACTAGTCATTCTCTACGTGGTTTAAAAAGGGAGGGGGGGATGAATCAATACATGTTTTGTAATTTGCGATACTTGTTAATGGGGATGTTTCGTAGATTATCTGTGATTAATGGGAGTGAATATCCCTTTTTATCACCTGCAAGTCTCTCCATTTGTCAGTCGTATTGATACTTTGAAAAGTACAAGAAAAGGTTACTTGGTGCTGTATAATGCGATGTGTGCAAGATACATTTCGGAAACTTGATTCCAAATTTGTTTCTGTTGTTCATGGAACTCTTTTTCGAAGGTCATGAAAATTTTTTTGATAAAATTTCTGTTACTCATAAGCAGAAACATTTTGAAATTTTGATTCCAAGTTTGCCTCCGCTGTTGATGGAACTCTTTTCATGGAATTCACGAAAATTTTTCTGATAAAATTTCTGTAACTCATAAGAAGAATTTTGGAACCTTGATTCCAAGTTTGTCTCCGTTGTTCGTGGAGCTCTTTTCAGAAGGCCATGCAAATTTTTGATAGAATTTCTGTAACTCATAAGAAAAACCATTCTGAAACCTTGATTCTATCACAGAGAACTTTTTTCTGAGGCCATAAAAAAATTTTTTTGATAAAATTTCTTCAACTCATAAGCAAAACTTCATGTAATGTTCGAGTTTGTTTTATGCCGGAGGGACAGATGAGGCAGTTCTTGTTGTAATTGGGCTGATCAATTCGAATATCAGGTCTAATAGGATAATTCTTGCAATATCTTTAATTTTATTGGCATTTCATAAGAACTTTCTGCAGAAATCTTCAAGATTGTTTTTGATCTTTCGTTATGACTTCTTGATACGCTTAAATAAAAAATTTTAAATATTTTTAATCGAAGTTTCGCCTCTCTTTTTTGACACGCTAACGGTACCAGACTGCTCGTAATAGGAGGCGGCAATGTCGAGTAATAATTCCAGAAATCTTAGGAGAAAAAAGCGCAAGAAGAGGTAAACTCGAAGAAAAAAGGAAAATTTGGGTATGTTTGCAAAATAGCTGAGTACGAGTGCATTTGCGGCTTTTGGCTAACCCTCCTTTCCTCCCTCAAGTGCAAAGCAGCTTGAGATCTTCAGGAAGCTGTTAGAAGAGTCGAAGAGCGAAAGCGTAAAAAAAATCATGCCTATCATATCCGTGCGTAAGTAAAAACCATTGGATATGGGAAAATTAACACTTATTGAGGGCAGTTGGGAAAGCGCCTACCAATATAAAGGGTTGACTAAAATAAATCAAAAATTTATGTGTATTTTCGGCACTTGCGCGTTGATTGCTCTAAAGCTCATCAAATTATTTGCGCAAAAAACCAAATCCGCATCAAAACCGGTTAATAAAAGTTTTGAGAGAGAATTTTGGAGAGATGTGACAAAGGCAGAAGGTGGCAGCTTTTGAATGTGTCGATCTGAGAGTGAATCGGTGCAAGAATTTCTCGCAAGCCGCAGCCATGTCGTGGCCTTCGCATGTTACACTGAGCGGATGATTTATACGTGTTTTCGCTGCATTCACAGACCTCTACGAGCGTTTGGAGGTAATAGTTGGGATGCCTGGATGAGTCAGTAGATCCGAGTCTGAAGGACAACTGCAACTAATTCCAAAGTTCACAGAAAGTGTGGAGGCGATTGAGAGGGAAGAACACAATTTGTGCCGGATGAAGTGACTTTCAAAGCTGAATATTCTTCTTTCTCAGTCAAAACATGAAAAAAATTATTGCAACAAAGTACGCGGGGTTATTCTGACGCAAGCATCTGCATATAGATTAACTTTCATATCTTTATGACTAACTCTCTTTCGTCGCCCATTAAATAACAATTTTTGTAGTTTTACCGCTGCGATACTGTTTAATAAGCTTGTCTGCGTTGTACAGAGATTTTCCAAATTTTATGCATCATCAAATCTCCATCTAATCTACAATAATACCAGTTCTATTAGGTAATTGATACCATACAGAGTGTCCCAAAAGTACACACTTTTCAATCGTCAATATCTCTCTTCACAATGGGTCTTTTTTGGCCAATCAAGTACCATTCTGTAGAAGAGGCTTCAACTTAGATTCACAGTATCGACCGAATCACCAATCGCTCTTCGTTACTGTAGGATTACGGTAAAAACATCCAGCATGTGGAACCATTGTGAAATATGCCATCTGACAAAATTCTTCTCAAAAATTCTGTAAATTCGTGTACTAAGGTTTTCGCGCACGCTGATTCCACTGCACAACTTTTTACTTGTGTTTTCAGCTTTTTTGACGGTGTAATCACATCTGACAAATACTGGGAATTCGGTTATTACGGTATACCTGGGATAACTTTGGAAAGAAGCATTACCGTAAAGTGGAATTTTTATATTCGAAATCAACGGCTTCCATTACCATAGTATAAGAGTTTCTGGCTTGTCTGGTTTTGTTCCAAGACAGAATATGGCTTCCAATGGTTTAAAGTCCTTGTCGAAGTTCCTACAGCAATCCTACAGTAAAAAAGAGATGCGGTAATTCACTCGATACTGTAAATCTAAGTTGAATCCTCCTCTACAGAATGGTGCTTGTATGGCGGAAAAAGACACAATGGGAAGAGAGATATTAACGATTGAAAAGTGTGTACTTACTTTTGGGACACCATGTAGATTGGTTTTGAAAAATTTGTGGTACATGTTTTTTTTTCACTCGCAGTTCAGCAGTTCGAGAGGCTTTGCAATGCAGGAGAATTGTCTTATGCTGTATGCTGCAAAAAATAAGATAAAGAAGCTCAGTTTCAGAAAAGAAGCTCAATACCTCTTTTAAAAAATTTGAATAATATAATTTCTACTTTCATGGATAACTGCCCTCTTTCAAACTGACAATGCGAGAGTGCCAGAAATTGTCGAGTTGCAGTGTATCTTTTCAACGAGTGAGTGATAAGTTGAGTTCGGGATCAGACCGCTGTCTGGTGGATTTTTTTCTGGAGAAATAACGGGAACGTCGTTTTTAAATTTCTACGAAAATCTTGCTTGGCGTGGTGGGGGCTCACACACTAAATAGCCGATAATTTATTTGGCCACTACTATAAAAGTGGCATTTCCTAGCTTTGTGAAAAATCGTAAGTTAGCCTTGAATGATTTTTCTTGTACGAGGAAGTAATTCGATGGGAATGGTGATTGATGAAAATTTATCATTAGTACAACAACTGTTCTGCAATGTGCGTTCTTAACTCAAGCGTATCCGCTTAACATGAATTTCACGGTATGTAGAGTGAATTGTAAATTTTGTTGTACTGTACGTTTTGGAAGGCGCGATCATGTCTATTCCTATTTGTACAAAACTCCACCATCTACCTTATGGATAGTCCTGCCTCTTTGTCAATATAGCACTTCATTTCAACTGTTAATGGCTCGGGTACACCGCTCGACAATACCGCACACGGATAAGCTCGTTTTAGGAAAAATGCAAAGGGTTTTGCGGGATTTGTGCGTAGTTCTGATGAAAATGAAATGATATGCAAGCATCGAGTCTGTGTCGAGAGTCGTCTTTCCAGACATTCTAAAGTGCAGAGCTATCAGGTTAAATTCTATAACATGACTAGCTGGCTTACCCGGCTCCGCCGTATGTTTCGAATAGGAAATTCCATTTCTTAACCGATCCGGACCAAACTTGGCACACATACACTTCGGGCCCCGGCGGGTGTCACAGTCCACTTTTCGTTATCGATCCCGCCGGGGTCCGTAGTGTATGTGTGCCAAGTTTGGTCCGGATCGGTTAAGAAATGGAATTTCCTATTCGGAACATACGTACAGACAGACATACAGACATACAGACAGACAGACAGCAAACAGACATTCAGCTTTATATATAAGATGCACGAAAAATCAAAATTGCGATCGAGATATTATAATCTCGTTTACAGCATTCAGCTTGTGGTATGACAATAGATTCAGTGCGCATGTGCGCATAGGAAACGAACTATGTCTGGAAAATTTTAAAAAATTGAAAGCCAAAAAGCGATTTATCCAAGTCGGCACTGGAAAGTTGAGTGCCATTTGAAATTTTTTTGAAGCAACTCTAAATCTGATTCTCATATCAGAATCTACATACTAGTACTGATGACTTACCAACTTCTCTTCGCTTTTACAGCTCTTAGATTCCCGGTCATGTAATTGCCTGCACGGAATCGCCCGGAATGAAAGCCCGCGAGCGTGTCTTTTGCAAGCTAACATTGGCATTCGCGTGCATGAGTTATCATAGCGCTCGCACTCGCAGCCGCGTTGCAGGCACGCTCGCGCGAGTTCAGCAAATAGCGACCCGGACAATTTCGTGCAATTGACTTAGCCCGATCTTGCTGCCAAATAGTGCGCCTCGAAGAGAGTCGATGATTATGGTTATGAAAGGTATTGTTTTCACATATCAAGTACTTCGCTAAACTCTTTGGGGGGGGGGGGGTGGCGCCGAACCTTTTGTTCGGAAACACTGTGGTGTCCTTTTCTCTCTCCTCCTAGCCCCCTTCCCCATTTGGTGGCCGCTAAATTGAGCAGTCTTCTTCCCCATCACTAACAGTAACAACAATTCTTTCTACCTATATCCAAATTCTTCCACTTCCTTTCAGTGCTGCCGCGTCGATGAAGTCGAAATCAGCGATTGAAGAATTTCTGGAGTTGTGCGAGCAAGCGCAGCCTGTGATTGGTGAGAGTGCTAAATTACTTAAGTTGAAGCCGAAAGTAGGCGACCATTTAGGACATTCAGTAAACGCACATGGGAGCTTAGTGGTGGAGAGCGATTCACTGGTAGAATCTTCGAGCAATTATGCTCTCTGTTCGACTTCAACTAGTTTGAGTTCTTTGAGTCTATATAAAACTTTATGTTCATGAAAGCTGCGCAGTGTAGATGAATTTCTTGGGAAACCTTCGCAAGCTGAAATAGAAGATTCTGTCTCATTGTTACGGCGCGATGGAGAGGATGTCACCCATGGTTCTGAATCTTATCAATCCCCTATTGTAAGTATCTTTACTGATTGTTACGTTTTTTACAGTTTAACTTGATAGCACCAGATTCTTGCCGTTTATATCACTAACGCAAATAAACTTCTTAATGCTGTTACAGGCTCATTCAACCCCAAGTCCATGTGACGAAAATGCTGGGTTCTGGATTGATTGCGATAAGGTCAGTAAATTACAGAATTCTTTTCTTTGATTCTCAACACTAATATGTGTGGTTGCCTATTCAGATTTCGGAGGATCTGAGGCGAGATACTGTCGCAATCACAAAGAAGTATTTCTTCAGATAAATTGTACACTGATTTTTCAGAAACCCTGATGAAGTTTCTGTATAAAAAACTGAAGCCTCTATTTGTCTCGCAATTTCAATGGTACGATGCCATTCATCATTTGTGGAATTTCCATTATAATGACTATATCTTCCAGGTGATGACCATTGTGAAAACGTAAAATTTTTTCGAGGTGTTCCTCTGAAAGAGCAGTGGATCGAGAACAGGGCCAGTAGTAATCCCCCAAAGTCGTCACAAATCAAAGAAGACATGGTCATGACCGCCCAAAACGAGTCACAACTTGGGCACGACGGGCGGTGGCCGCTCGCCTCAAAAAGCTCCGCTATCACCAGGGTCAAGCGTGGGGTGCGGCACGCCACATCTGGGGGTCGTATTGAAGAGTGAAAAGGGGAGGGGGTCGTAGTTGGGTAATCTGATAATACTGATAACATGATATTTGTATCGTATCCATAATTAGCATGTCAATTAACCCCTGTAGACAAAGTGTGAGCGAATTCTGAAGATTCAAGATACTAGGCTACCTAAATGAAATGGTCAAATTCCAACATGGTTAACTTTGTTTCAAAGGTGAATTAGCTATCCGTTTTTGCACTCAAGACAAAGCACTACTCCTTCTTTGTCCACCTCAGGAATCCCGCTTCAGAAGACCTGCAAATTGTGGAATTAGAAGCCAACCAAAATCTCGTTTTTCCCGTTTTTCGCTTTTGATCGCTGTGCTTTCACCAAATATTACTCAGAGCTAAGAAGACGAATCAGGCTCCAAACAGTCCTATGGAATCTACAAGGTTTAGGCTATCGATTCATATAAATACTGTCCGCTAAAAATGTTTTTTTGATATAGTTAATGGGGGAGCGGCACACCCTTTTAAAAGCTGCGGCTGCCGCAGCTTTTAAGGGGGTGTGCCGCACCCCATTAACTTGCCTTCAAAATCCAGAAAGCGCTCCATTGCTGGTATGAGTATTGAGCACGTAGCTTCTTCTTGCTACACTGGAAATTTGGAGCCGAACGCCCCACACATAAGAAAATTATGGCCTTTTTAATATGCCCATTCAGATCAGAATCAGCCGTCAAATTACGTGTGATTGTAAAGTGCAGTCACAGAAAATCGGGCGTACAGCTCTCAGAAATCTGAAAACTTTCTAGAAAAAGCTGGTGTCCTCCAGAATGTCACACTTTGAGGTCCAGAGGTTAAGAGGAGGATGAAGGGGTCGTTTGAGGGTTTTCATGGGAGGGGAGGGGTTGTTTTCGAAAGACTTGTGCCTGACCTCTTTTTCAACTCTGGTAATGCTATCTTAGGTATGTAGTTCAGGGGGGGGGGTCTTATTAAGACAGCAATCAGGGGGGGGGGGGGGGTCGTAACCAGCGATCGTGTGCCACGCCCCTTGCTTGACTGGCTATCACCCGTCGCCGAACTCGCAGTGAGCACTGAGCGGCGCTCACAGCCACTGCGCTACTGCGAACTCGCTGCCGGCATTCACAAGATAAGAATGTGGGAGAAGCTCAGCCATGAAGATATAGAACGATCAGTGAAAGAACACAAAGCAGTCTTCGCATTGCGCTCATTTCGTCTCTACCCTCTGTTTGTATTATTGTTGTTGTATATTCTATCAGAAAAGTCTATATTCTTTATTTTGCAGGGTCATGTCTGTGTTTGTGCCTGCAGATGCGAGGAGAAGCGCCAACATCCGCAATATTCGGCTTCATCCACTCCGACTATCTCGTCGCATTTGCCGGGCATGTGCCACGCTCCGCGCGTGTTGCCATGACTCGAAGGGGATTTACTACAGGTCCAGTTGACCTCGCAGGTTTACAACAAAGGCTGTTATTACCTTCAGAACTTTGCTGAAGATTTGATTTCTCAAGAAATCTCTCGAAAACTTCCCAATTGACCATGGGAATAGAAATGTGGAAACAACAATCCGCTCTCGTGTTCTACTACCTACAAAGTCTCAAATAAGCGATGACACGTTTAAACTTGGTAGATTCTTTGCGACCATCACTGATGTTAATTCCAACATATGGTGTGTGAGATAAAAGCTATAACCTAGTTGTAAAACTGTTCCAGTACTTTGATCCTATAATATTTTTTTACAACACTCTACGTAAGGCATGACGAAGGCGCAGAAGCAATATTAGTGGGCGGGCGCGAACGTGGCGCGCGCGTATTTTCACCGTTGTAGATCCTGCGCCTCATGCGCTTTGCAGCTAATAAAGCCGTGATCGCGCTTGAAGGAGTTGCGCCTTCGTCATGCAGCAGCTTATACTTTTTTAAAGCAACGCATGGATAGAGAAATATCGACTCAACGCGTTGACTGCGGTACAATAGCGTTGACGACAGTACACCATTATGTTGCGCGGCACCCATAATTTCAACTTTAAGTGCTCAGCTGTTCTAATTCTACCTAGTTCTACTTCTACTTCTAATTCTAGTCCATCAAACAACTGCAGAGTTTAATCAAAGAGTGCGAGTTAATCGCTAACGGTAGGTCACCGCAGCTGCGTCATCCTTTTTGAGGACAAAATGGAACACAAGGGCATTATCCCTCTATTACCTGTCTTTTACTGCAACATTTGGCAGTTGCACTTTCGTATTTGACATATTGTGACAATGTCCTACAGGAACGGCCCTGTGAAAACACAAAATCTTTTCTTTTGCAAGGTCCTCTCACTGTTTTGAGAAAATAAGAGCTGACCTTTCAGATCCATAAATAGCCATCGCTATGAGCTCCAAGTCTTTGCAGAGCATTCATGTAACTTCAGGAAATGTTTGGAATTCTTCCCTTCGAATTTTAGAGGTAATGTCTGGGGCCAATAGTTCATTCTGGTGTACAAGTAGGCTTTGAATAAGCAAGAAACATTTTATTTTGAGTGGATCCTTTGTGTTTGAGCGAAGGGCCCAGTTATCTTATTAGAAATTTAATGGAGTAATCGATGAACTCAGGAGTGTGTTACCACTAACAAAATCCTCATTAGGTAAAAGAATAAAGCTTATTTTTGAAGATGTCCTAATGTCTGTGGATATAAGCGTCCGGATTGAATTCTTTCAGCCCTTTGAATTTGCTCATGCATTTATTGTAGCATTTCACCGCCTCTGTGGTTGGATAGACTCTGATGCATTTTTGAAGGCACTGAAGAAGAGATTATATCACTCAAACGCACAGAATATAGTTGAAATGTTGGACTTACGCGCTGATTATGCTCTGCAAGGGCCTCGTTCTTTTTTGATTCATGCTCCGCAAGGGTCTCGTTCTTTTTTGATTCATCGCTCTTGTCACTATTTTTAGCAGGAAGGATACAACCGAACAAACTTCTGAAGACACCACCACAGCCCATAGTAGTATATACATGCATCAAGATTAGAAGGAGAATCAGCTTGCAAAACATCGCCCCTGAAAATATAGGGTGCTACATTCAGAAAGCATAAAGCCTTTCACTGCTCAATGTTTTTCAATCTCAATTTTTTCCATTAAGGGTGGTTGGTTGAATTTAGCGAGCTGCATTTTTTGAGCTTCTTTCCTTTTATACAAAGTGTGCCAAAAGCAGTTATACACTGTTGATCGTTGATAACTCTCTTGCTTTGATGCCTTTCGGCGAATTTTGGCTACCACTCTGTAGAGCGAGGTTTAACTTACGATTAGAGTTACAATATGGAGCAAATCACCCACTTTTCTCCATTACTGCAGAAAATTCAAGAAAGGTTTTGAGACATTGAGAGTCCTATTTCGCCTCAAAAAGCGAACCAAACAAGCTGCAAATTCTTACACTGCTGATTAAAGTCGCTGAAACCAAATATGAACTTTGCATTTTGCCGCAATGCTTCCTTCACAAATAATGCCAGGTAAACCGCGATATGTCTTTACAGTGCTTTCTGAGAGTGTGACTATAATATCTGAAAAGCTTTACGGACTCCCAAAAAGTTGAGTAGTGAAATCAGTGCGCATAAAATCTCGTATGCACCACTTTTCAGAACTTTTAGGAGACATCTCCTGTAACACATTAATCCACAATGACGTTGTAAGCCAGAAGTTCCTACAGTAATCATACAGTGATGAAGAGCGATTGGCAAGAGTAATATCTGCTGCATGACGAAGGCGGTTGCCCAAATAGCTTGAAGGCTGTCGCGCACGCGGCGCGCGGGCTGTTGTCAACCACCGGGCGCGCGCACGCTCGGTCAGCGGTCATCCAGTGGAGCGTGCGCGCGCCCCGTGGCTGACAGTTGCCCGCGCGCCGCGTGCGCAACAGCCTTCAACCTATTTGGGCAACCGCCTTCGTCATGCAGCAGATATTATGGTTCTCTCCATACTACAAATCGAAGTTGAAGCCAGCTCTACAAAATGGTATTTGAAGGTAGGCAAAAGACTTCTTGGGAAGAGAGATATTGACGATCAAAAAGTGTATACATACTTTTGGGACACCCTATATGTATTCGATACATGTTTTGGCGAACACGATGTAGAAAGATACAAAAAGATCAATAACACTCCTATTCCATTTTTTCCAATGTAACTGCAAGAATAGATTCTTGTGATTACTTCGTAGATAAAGGCTGCCGTTGTTCCAAGAAGTTGCAAAGTAATAGCATTTTAGAATACTCAGGAGATTTTCTCACAAGTCTATGATTATTAGTGAAACTTAAATGGATAATGAAAAGAGATAATGGAAGCTTTGGTCACTACAAAGACCGAGCGTCTCCCGCTGCCTTCCAAGGGTACTAGAGGAGAGCACTTTGAAATGTTCTAGGTTCTGCTCAAATACTGGCACCACATTAAACAGTTGTGCGGAGTTCAAATAGGGTAGTGTAAGCAAATTACTGATTATTAGGTCAGGTCCCTACAGCTGCTTCTGTCAGGGGCAGAGCTGTTGAAACATAAGGGCATTCCAGTAGTTATCAATGAATTCGAATTTCTCTGATCATAGCAAATCAAATCACGCAAAAGCATATTCAAACACGAGATTAAAAAGACTGACATATATTAGGCCGTTTCATAAGTTCGTAGAGTTTTCATAAATCAACGAAATGACAATATTAGTCAAGATTCAGTCAATAATGTATGTACCGTTTTTGCCTTCTGCCACTTGCTGTCATTCGTTTTCCAAAACTCAGCGAGCCTGAATTCAAAAATCATCTAATTAGTGCATGAGATCGCTAGTCGAAACAAGCACCGTTCATACAGTTTGCGAGAGAGGAGAAATGGTACTTTTATGGTTTGCAAGAGAGAAGAACAATTGGTTACCTGATGCTGAGGTTGAGGAGTGTAATCTGTACATTAGTGCACATCCCAATCAAGTCTCGCAATACAGTTTTGACGACGTTTGCGCATGGAGTCATAGTCTTTCATGCACAAAACCCATATAGTCTGCTTCTTAGATCATCTCTGCAGTAAGGATTCGTTCATAAAGTGCATTTGGGTTGCGTACGGTATGATCGACCGTTTTTCTCTTGTTCAGTAACCTTCAGTGCAGAAGTCTTATCCTCTCTCGAAAAGTCTTTTTCAGAGAACATTCATTTCAACCCTTGCCCATTTGAAGCAATCCAACCCTTTTTTCGTATTTGCATGCGAGGCAATTTTCCATAACCGATAAAAAAGCTATGCGAAAGCGCTTTTTTTACATGAAGAAATAAGCAGGGGCGGACGTTTTCCCTCAACGAAACAATTTTTGGAAGCTGGAAAATCAAAGTCGATCAGCTTTTCACCGAAACTGATGTTCTTGAAAAGGCATAATCAGCTCGCAAAACAACGCTGTAAAGAAATGGATGCGAGAATGAAAACTCTACATGAAACAACTTTACGTGTGGCCACATTTAATCACTGTTTTCCTTTATTCTTTCAGCTTTGAAAATAAAATTCTTTGACGATGAAAAGAAGTATTTCTGACACCTGGGCCGATAGTAATCCACCCTACCTGGTGGCATCATAATGCCGGCAAGTGGGCACACATCGCGGAAGGATGCCGACTCCGGCTTGAGCTAGCTCGCGGACTGACCATGATGTTCTGCTGAGTCACATGGTTTTTGTCCGCAGTCACTATCTACATGAAATTTCGACGACTCAGACGCCACAAAACATTGACATTGCGCGCATTCGGACCTGCATGCCTCAACTTCGAGTGTTTGCGCACTAACCAATCGACCACTCGGTCATTTCCTGTTTTTCGCGAAAAAACAGCAGGAATGCACAAACAAATGCCACATGTAAGAGGGCATATCTATAACGTTGTGAGTTTTTGGACCTGAAACAACAGCTGATTGTTACGGGCAAAGAAGAGACGGAATTGTTACAGGCGAGGAAGGATGCAAAAAGAAAATGATACTTGCTCGGGTTTTGTGACGATGCAGATTCTTCTGTATACATCATTTAATCAGGAAAACACCAAATCATGACAGAAATGATTTTGATAGAGCGTAAAATTTTCGATTTTGCTTGACGTAATTGTGTGATATTGCCGCATTCCCAGATTTGAAGGCACTCTAAGCTAGGTGCCAGTACATCGAGGTGGTAGGGGCAAGTAGGGCTGCTGAGTCCTTTCTCTCTTAAGAGTGCACTATCCCCATGTTTTCCCTGCCGGCGCTCTCACCGCGTGAGTCTCATTAGGCGCCTGCAGATTACTTTGCAAGGTTGCCAGTATCTATTAGGTTGTTACATAAGTCTTGTTACACTTAACTTCTAACGGCAATATTATGTATATATATATATTATGCAATATAACGGCAATATATTCGAATCATTTCATATGATTATGTGTGCACCCGCACACACCGTTCAGGTTTGGCGTCCTCATCTTGGATTTGTGATCGCAAAAACGCAAGAGAGCGACCGATTGCTATCGCTTACATCATTTTGAGGTGAATCGTACCTAAAAAAAGGAAACATTGAGAACGCAACAAAAACACTTAACTGAAGGATTGCCTCCTCCCAGAACCCAGGATGGGAACGCCAAAGGACGGTGTGTGCAACGACACATATGATCATATGAAATGATTCGACTGTACCGTAGTTTTGCATAAGAGGTTTTCAAAATCTCCACCTCCAATGTAAGCTTCTTAAGGTCACTATCTCAGACAATCGACCGGACCCCTCCGTCGGACAGTCGGAATCTGCCAGAGTCGCGCCGGACCCAGTTGACCAATGAGAGCGGGGCAAATGGGCGGTCCCTTCTTGTAGGTCGCGGTGACATCACTGGCAGGCAAGTGGGACGCTTCTCCGGCCCTGCTGCAAAGGTACGCCATTTCTGCTCCGAAGATACGCCAGATTTGGCAGAGCCGCGCCGGAGAAATTTGCCCGCCGCGAGTCCGCCAGATTTGGGAGAGCCGCGGAGCAGAAAATGGGAGGGGTCCGGAGCACAAATGGGAGGTCTACGGTGCACAAATGGGAGGGCTCCGGAGCACAAAATGGGAGGGCTCCGGAGCACAAAATGGTAGGGCTCCGGAGCAGAAATGGGAGGTCTCCGGAGCAAAAATGGGAGGTCTCCGGAGCACAAAATGGGAGGTCTCCGGAGCACTAAATGGGAGGCCGGAGCGCAAGTGGGAGGTCTCCGGAGCAGAAAATGGGAGGTCTCCGGAGCAGAAAATGGGAGTTCTCCGGAGCACAAATGGGAGGGCTCCGGAGCACAAAATGGGAGGCCTCCGGAGCACAAAATGGGAGGGCCCGGAGCAGAAAATGGGAGGTCTCCGGAGCAGAAAATGGGAGTTCTCCGGAGCACAAATGGGAGGGCTCCGGAGCACAAAATGGGAGGCCTCCGGAGCACAAAATGGGAGGGCTCCGGAGCAGAAATGGGAGGGCTCCGGAGCACAAAATGGGAAGTCTCCGGAGCACAAAATGGGAGGTCTCCGGAGCACTGAATGGGAGGGCCTGGAGCACAAAATGGGAGGGCTCCGGAGCACAAGTGGGAGGTCTCCGGAACAGAAAATGGGAGGCCTCCGGAGCGCAAATGGGAGGGCTCCGGAGCAGAAATGGGAGGGCTCCGGAGCACAAAATGGGAGTTCTCCGGAGCACAAATGGGAGGGCTCCGGAGCACAAAATGGGAGGCCTCCGCAGCACAAAATGGGAGGGCTCCGGAGCACAAATGGGAGGGCTCCGGAGCAGGAGTGGCAGACACCCCGCTGAAGAAACCCCGCGGCCCTGCCATTTCTCCGCCGGAGGGGTCCTATCCGTTGTCTGAGATGGCCAAACAAGATTCCCCCTGAAAAGTGTTGTGTAGGAGTAAATGTTGGGCTAGAGTTTTCGTCGGTCTCAGGTAGAGTTGACGACAGGCTGAGAGCGAGAGCTGCCAGTTGCGGGATTACTACCGGTCTTACTGTCTTATTCCTCGTAGAAAGGAAAAGGTTTTTACCACAGACTTGATAAGAGTGATGAGAATCCTTGCTTTCACGACATACTGGGGTCTTGGTTCTCATTTCCATGGACCTGATTCATCATGCTTGAAACAAAGGCATGGAACTGTCATGTTTTTGAGGCAGATTCCTGTCTTTCCAATGTTAGCCTGATTGAGATTGAACTCTGAATGAAGGAATGAGTTTGTTTTGTTTGTGCAGGATGATTCTTTGTTATATTTTTCAAAACCTTATCCTTCTCTGGACGTACTTGTTATGATGTTCACTTTTCCTGGTGAAAGACTTCTCACTACTTCACAATACTTTTCATTGAAATTCGTAGGCTTTTCCTTCCATGTCCTATTCATAGTACATATGAGACTTTATATTTGATCAGTGTTTACTAAATCGCAAGATCACTAGAAAACCTATACTCTTCTTTATCAACACATCATAGCAGCGAACGACAGCAAAGTAAGACAGTAAATAGATAGATGTTATTTGGTGGATGTTGGCCTTGTAGAGATTTGATAGACGCATTGACGAGGTGGGTATGTGTAGTTAGAGTTTTTGGCGTGGTGTTGGCGTTCAAACTATCACTCTACCCATCAACGTCCACTTAGCCGAAACGTAGAGGTCTTGGGCCCAATCCGCGCTTGATCGAGCTGAAATAAAAGCATAGCATAGCTATAAGAAATAGTCTTTCGTGCAAAGACAATGCCCTATTGTTCTTTGAATTTCATAAAAAGTTTGTTTTAGAGGTTGTTATAGTGGGATACTATCAAAACTTAAGAAAAATGTCAAGTGATTCTTTACGAATAAGAAAAGAAATGTATTGTAAAAGTAGCAAAATTCAAGAACATTCTTTACATTCCTGCCACTATACGGAAAAGGATAAGAGCACAATCTTTCCCTGCCCCTTTACGAAAATCTTGGAGCTTCCGCACATATTTGCCAACTTTTACGTACCTAGGAATATCAGGAAAAAAACTCATTTCTTCCCCGTTTTATCCCTCATCCCCCCCCCCCCGTTTCAAACCATTCTCTAACTATATGTCCAACTACTTTTTGCTGCCCTTTTTTCTACTGCAACTGATGATGCTCATTATAAGTTCCAACATCAATTGACGATCCAGTAATGACATAATTGACAACTTTAAGCAAAGTTGCTAGATGTCATTGCCTTGGAGAATGAGTAATGAGCTTCGATTGATGAATGAGTGCATTTCCGAAAATCACACAATGTACTGAAAAATGCCTATAGCCTGTCGGGGCTAAAAATATCTACAATGAGCAAAATTTCAAGGTTTTCTCGCAAGTAGTACGTATTTGTTCTGCGTGTATATGACTGCATCGGGTACAACTTGGAGTTCTGGAATTGATTCAAGATTCAAAAGGTATTTCGATAATGCTGCTTCAAAATTCCCCAGTTCTGCAAGAAAATTCTGCCAATTACGACTTAGTTTTGTGCAGACTAAGAAGAATTTTGCATTTGTCCTCAGTGCGGAATAGACAATAACAAGTCCCAAAACAAAAAAGCTTGCATAGAATTAGTGCTTATGAATTTTTAAAGCCCTGAGAAAGACTGGTCTGAGAACTATTTGTTGGTTCAGGGCGGCTAATTAACAATTAAACAACCAAATGGAATAGAAACGATGCTACAAAGTTGTTAATTAATCAATTTTCTTCACATTTGGGGGCCTAACTTCTATAGCAACTCATCAATGGTTTCGAATGCATAAAACGTGATTTTACTAACAAGGGAAGGTGTGTCTAGTCGAAGTGGCCTTTCCAGATGAGACCCATATTGCTTTGAAGAGCATTAATCGGTGATTTCAAATCTGTTTTCCAAATCTGCCAAGCGCCTCTGTCGAATCTGCCGAGCAAAATCGCCCAAATTTGCTCAAATGGTCCAGTGTCAAGTATCAGAGCTGTTTATGCAATGGATACATTTTATTTAATATGCTAATACTCAACATTGCTTTACCTGAGCGCTGGAAAGATTGTAACAATCAATTTTACCCAAATTCTGCATTCATTTTTCGTTCCGAAGAACGGTCATAACTCGGGGTCCAGAGGCGCTTGGCAGATTTGGAAGGCAGAATTGGAATCACAGCTTAATACACTTTAAAGCTGTATGGGTCTCATGGGAAAGGCCACTTCGACTCGACACGGTTCCCTTGTAAGTATTATCTCAGACTTAAATGCCGCATTTTCATAAAATAGTAAATAATTTCATATCTATTTTCCGGTGTCAATTTGGTTTTTTAAGTCAGAGGAAAGGTACTACCGTATACTGCGCAGTTACCGTATCAAATGGAAATGATACGCGTCTATACTACGTGCTAAAATATTGTAGTAGGAAAAATAAATAGCAAAAGATTTTTTTCTAGTTTAAGCATCCAACTACAAAGGTCAGTAACTTTAGGACAAGCTCATCCAGAATTTGAGGCCAACTTGAATTTTGGCATCTACATAATCTTCGCAAATGAATGATTTTGAAGAGCTAGTAAATTCTCTTTGAGTCCCAAAACTGCTTTTGGCAACCATAAATGTTGTCACAAAGTTCTTCAGGTGCCCAAGTTTTTCTAAACATGACGACATTTGTGTTTGTTTTGAATTAGCTTCTCTGCAGGGCAAAGCAAACAAGTCAGCAGAACACTTGAAAGATAGAATTCTCAAAAGTCCAGACAATTTGTAGAACATACAGCTGAGCTTCTTTTCTAATTTGGTGGAAAAATTCGAGAACAAAATTTTCAGCTCAATTTGCAAATATTGATTCAGGTGAAAAGACAGAATAATAACTTGGCCTCGAGATTCAGAATTCGGTTCCTGTTGCTTTTTCTTTTTCTCAAAATTCAATAAAAGGATGATTGGTTTTACAGTACGTGACATCAAATCTGACAAAACCCGCAAATCTCCTTTTCTCTTCGTCTGATTTCTGCAAAATCTTATTTCTAAAGATCCCTTGGGAGAATTTTCCAAGCTGCAAAATTTGCAAGCTTTTGCAAGAAAATATACTCTCCTTCCCCTTTCCTCTCTCCTCGAGTGCAAATTACTTCCAAGCTTCATAATTAGACGGCTAGTACATGAAACAATTCATCATTGCCACTCTCCAGGTGACAAAGCAGCATCGATAATGAGTTTGATGACTTCATCATCATTCTACCCCCCCCCCTCCCCAACATCCTTCCCCAGGGAATCCTATAAATGGTAATATTATGCACATAAGCAATAGGTTTTATGTATCAAAGCTCTTCTGGCTTGATTTCCATATTAGGGACCGAAGTTCAAGCCAGGATTAAAGGTTGTAAGACTTTTAAAGGACTCACCCATGATCTCCAGCCAAGTAGTAGTCCTGCAGATCATCGGACCCAAATCGTTGAAGATATTTATTCACTGAAAAAAAAACCTTGTTCAAAGATGGGGGAACTGCAGAGAATGTGAGAGAACGGGAAGGGGTGGGTGGGAGGGGGGCATTTTTTGCTAAAAATGCTTACATATCCTGTAGGCTGCTTCCGAATCGCTTATCGGTGATGCAAAAGCCCAAGCGATGATACAGGCAATGAAGACGAGAAATCCGCTGACACGCATCCTGAAACGATTTTTTGGGAGGAAATGGTGGCAGTAATTTCGATGAATAAAAATTATTTCAACGAAAAATGAATGACGAGAGAAATCAGTAGAAGAATAAGTATAGGAATAAGGTGATGATCTGGAGTTGAATTATTTTTTTTTGGTAAAGAGTAGGTTCAAGGGCTCGAAGCAGGACAGAAAAGGCTACTTCCAGTCTAATTGAGTTTTGGTTCACTCAATATAGCCAACATACCTAAGTCTTTATAAACAAACTTCCCTATAAGGAGGTTTACACTCTTATCCGATGCTCATAAAGTATTTTTATTCTATTTTATTCTTATTCGTAAAATATTTTTTAGCGATTAATTAGCATTATATTAGGTTGAACCGAAAGTTCTGTCCCTCCATTTTCAAAAATTCGTAACTTCGCCAGATTTCAACGGATTTGCTTGCTCGTAATTTTATTAGAAAGAATAGATCTTCCGCTTTCAAGCGCTGTTTTATGTAGCTTCTGCTTCGCACTGAGTGCCGAGATAAAAATGGAAAACTAAGACCATGTAAACTTTGACCATTTTAAGTTAGGTCACCAAAAATCTGGAATGCTGCAGAAAAATCTGAAATCGTCAGTACATATGTTTTTTGGCCTACCCTTTGCATCTGTGAAAAGTTTGTGTTGTTTGGACATCTCTGTGAGAAGTTATGAATATCGAGTTTACTATGGATAACGCCAAAATTAATTAATTTGGCAATTTTCGTGAAAATCATAACTTCTCACAGAGATGTCCAAACAACACAAACTTTTCACAGATGCAAAGGGTAGGGTACTGACGATTTCAGATTTTTCTGCAGCATTCCAGATTTTTGGTACCTAACTTAAAATGGTCAAACTTTACATGGTCTTAGTTTTCCATTTTTATCTCGGCACTCAGTGCGAAGCAGAAGCTACATAAAACAGCGCTTGAAAGCGGAAGATCTATTCTTTCTAATGAAATTACGAGCAAGCAAATCCGTTGAAATCTGGCGAAGTTACGAATTTTTGAAAATGGAGGGACAGAACTTTCGGTTCAACCTAATATATTGTATTGTTGTATTATCATTGTATTATTATATTTATTTTTAGTATTTGGTGCTATTTTTTATTTTATTTTAATTTTTTTTAACATTTATTTTCCGAAATCACACATCATCAATTCAATTATTTCATCATAGCGAAAACTTTTGGTTTCTATGTTTCTACGCCTCTGCTACAAAAATGCTAATTTTTTATTGTCGGAACCTAGAGAAAGCAATGACTGAGAAGGAAGAAAGCAAGCAGAAGAGATTTTTTCTGCTAAATTGAATAAATTGCTTGAAAGCCCTTATTGCACATTTGCAAACCATTCTAACCAAAAAAGTTGAATGTGCCTTGCGGAAATTTCATTAGTATGATTTTTTTGCCTATCTTGACGTCAGTTATAAGGTAGCATAGCTGCCAGAAAATTCTTTGGTAGTTAGCTTGTATTAGAAAAAAGAATAAAGCTTGTGTAAGTATTTGTCATACCTAGACCTACCCAAACTTTGCTCCTCCTCTCCCCCTCCCCCCGCTTTTCCCCGAGAGGTTTGCGGCAAATAAAGATATGATGATGAATATCGCATTTTTTATGCTGATAAAAACGCACACCGAATGATTTGATCATCTATCATAAGAGTGCAACTTCAAATTAGACCTCCCCCCTCTAACCATCGTACCCTAAATACTTACTCACTAGCCCTAGGGAGTTTTGCAAAAACAAGATAACACTGATTGCTTTTTCTGATATTTATTGTCCATCCAGTTTATGAGAATGGACTTCATTCTTTTCCACAAACTGATAGATTAAATGACTATTTAGAAAAACTTCTAGTTGAAGGGTTACGTTTGCAGGTACAAAATCTAAATAATATTGTAATTGAAGCAATTTGGGCTATGAAAAATTAGACTTTGGCGTCATTAGTTGGAACAAACAAGCATGGAACAAGTATGATGCGAATTAATCGGTGTCTACGCACTCTTCTCTCTAATTAATAAATTCTGTTGCTGGACCAGAAAAATTCTGCACCATACTCCCCCCCCCCCCTCTCAAACCTTTGTCCCAGGAAAGGGAGAAGTAAACTAGCAAGGCAGTAAGTCTCTAGCTTGAAAGGTGAGCTGACAACAAAATGAGCTCTCACACCTGGGAGGCGTTGCCGCCTACCGTATACTAATGGATTGCAGCGAAAAAAGAAGTTTGGCAGAATAAAATTGGTCCGAATGAATGTGGATTTTGAAGCCTTCACGTCCAACCTCACACATCCATCATCTACAGTAGTCATGTCACGCTAGGCGTATTTCGATGTCGTTGAAGTGTGACGACAGACAAGTATTTATTAGCCATGTGATCCGAATTGAGCCGACGTCGGGCGATAACAAATCAACTGAAATTTTGAGTTACGAGCTGCCAAGTTGCGTGAATGAAAAGTAATTTATGGGAAAAGCTGGCTGAAGTGGGAAGTGGGGAAGGGAGTGCAGCTCGGATCACCTTTATATAAAATTAAGGGCCTTAGCAATTTTTCCCCTCTTCCTTTCATGCCTCAATGACGATGAATAGCAATAATGTGATTGTCTCTAAGTAGGTACATTTTCTAAGCGATACCTCGAATTCTAATGTAGCTTGGCTCTTTGCGGATGCACGCTTTGTCAATGAATCAGCAAAAAAAAGTTTTATATATTCTTCTTAGCACCGAAAATGAGATAGTTTTAGTTTGCTGCAAACTGGAAGGAAGAAGAGGAAGTTTCAGGAAAATAGCAAATGGCCTTATCCTCAATAATTTGGCTCTGATTGAAGTTTGGCCTTCCATAGATTACAATCGGGAACCCAAAGTTACCACCAAAACAATAGCATTATTTTTTGCACCACTTTCTCTCTCTTCTTCTCCTTGGAAGGTACTCAAAAAGAGAATTATCCTTTTCTCCTCTGTTTTAGTGGAACACCTTGAAGGCAATGAAAACTACTGTTAGATCTTCACCTGCTTCGAGAACAGAAAAACTGGAGACGTTATGGCGCATATATTCAATATATGGGCTTGTAATGATGTAACTGCATTCTTATTCATAGCTTACATATAGCTAGAAGGGAGAGAAAGTATGAGAGGTGTATTGATATCAATTAGACTAAATGGTCCCTTGACAGTTGTATTTGTCTTCAATAAATCATTCTCTTCAACAACAAAAAATTCGTTTACTACTGCTGCTTCAGACTTATACAGCTGTAAGTGATAAAGGCTTATAGGTTGTAGGCAATGATTGCAAATCCAACTTGCAAAACTGAGTGTCGGCGGTTCAACAAAATTGAGAATTATTTAAAATAAGCTGTTTCGAGTGACGACACGCAAAATAAAATAGTTAGAGTTCTAGTTTCGGAAAACCGATCTCAAGTCAGGGCACGTCCACACATTACTGCTCAGGCAAGGTGCAAGTGCAAATATGCATGAACATAGGGCCAGAGGGTGGAGAAAGGCTGAGTGGGAGGAGCCAGACTGTGGCAAAGTTCGCTTGACTAATTCTGGTTTTTAGCTATTGTAAAAAGAATTTATAGGCTTTGAGATATGCTTTTTATCAAACTTTATCTGCGCTAACAATAAGTCTTTGAGATTAGGAACAAGATTCTAATTACTTTCCCATCACGAGCGTAGGAAAGCTTCAATTGAGAGCACGATTACGAAAGAGGTGCAGAGCCAGGCGATGCGGCAGCGAGGACTTGAGCCCCACCCACCAGCCGCCAATCCTGTTGAATCAAAGGGTAGTTTAGTTTACCAGCAATAAAGTGTTACTAGGTAGGCATTTCAAGTTGAGATTTACTACAGGACTAAGGTAGTCATTTCATGAATTTTGACCGATATTAAAGCTCTTATCTTGGCTAGACAACCTTTTGATAATAGAATCATTTGTGTTTAGAATACTAAGTGCAGTAAAGTTATAAATGCAGAGCAGTGGCTATGTCTTGCCTACAGTACAAGTACCACAATTCTACGGTATACACACTACTCATAAGTATTTTTGATCACAGATTTTGCAATTTTGAAAAATATTATTTTAAGACTTTCCGAAAACGAGATGTACTTTGAAGAAAACTGTATTATTTGAGGAAGTAAACTATTTTATAGATAAATGAAATTCAACGACCATGGCATAGCACTGTAATCCGAAAATCTTTTTCTGCAGAATGTTCTTCAGTTGCCCAAAAACTCAGACAAATCACCGGAACTTCCGCAGGACAAGCCAAATTTGCAGAAGTTCCGCAGGACTTTGTTTGCAATTGCAAAAACGAAAACGTTGAAAATCGAAACTTCCGCGAGATTTTCATGCCAAACTGGTTGAAAATCGGAACTTCCGCAGAACCTTCTTCAAAATCCTGCGGAAATTCAGAAAAATGCCAGAAGTTCCGCAGCACTTTGGCTTGCCAGAACTTCCGCAGGATTTTGAATGAGTTGTCTCGTGATTTTGCCTCGCCAACAACTAGAATGCATTATCGAACATGTCAGTCATAGTGTAGAGGAGGTGGGTCTCACAGTCAATAGAGTGAGGTTTAAATCTCGCTTCGGTGTTCTCTTTTGCTGTTGTGGTTGGAATTCTCGGAACTTCCGCAAGACCTCATTTCGGAACTTCCGCAGGTGAGCGGAAGTTCCGTAAACGCTCTGCGGAAGTTCCGGTCATTTGTCTGAGAAGAACGGAGGAAACAAAATGCAAAAGCTGAAGTCCAAGTTTGGACGAGTCACGGAATTACTCACGCTCCTTTCGACTTATGTTCGATGTGACGCAGTGTCTGGACTCGAAAAGTAGCAGAATCGAAGCTATACGGAATATATCACAATATATAAGTTGCATCCATGGTGGACCGCACGAACGCAAAAGCTAAGGTCTTCGTAACGGCCGCATATTTTTTTGTGAGGAGAGGGACAACGGGTTTCTTTTAGTGAAAAATGAGCATGAACTTGGCCAAGGCATTTAGACACTTGTGATTA